CAAAAATATCCTAATGATCGCCAGAAACTTTTTTTCAAAAACAACTTGTTTTACAATACCAGAAAAAAATAATACTTACAATATAAATATTTTTTTTTTCCGCCAAGTTTCCTTTAGTTTCCATTTAAAATTGTGTAAAATTGTATAAAATTCCATTTAAAATTGTGTAAATTGTGTAAAATTGTAAAAAGTTTCCATTTAAAATTGTGAGTTAGTTCATGTAATAAAGTTATTCAAGTTTTCAAAGTTTTTAAATATTTAATTAAAGTTTTCAAAAGTTCATACTTTGCATTTTTGTTTAATTTGGATATTCATTCTTAAAAATGAAGACATTTTTTATTTTCACTACTAGGTAGACTCGGAGATGTGTAACATTTATTTCCAAGAGCATTTTGTTTAAAATGGCTCGAATAAGTGACTTTATCATTCGTATTATCGTATTCTAAAAGTCGTATTGTCGTATGCTAAAAGGGCATTCTATTCAGGTATTCGTTCACTTATCAATCTTTTAATTAGATTACGTCCTACTTAATGAGTACTGAGCGAAAAATATTTGATAATAAAAAGCCTAAAAAATAATAAAGCCCTTAATAAAAACTTTTAGCATTTTTGTCCTTTTTTTAAATAACATAGGAAGAATTGTTTTCGGTTTTTTGCTTACTTTATTTAAATTGGTGGGTTTTCCAATACTATGTATACGTTTAATAATTACATTGCTTATTTTCAGTTGCTCGCTTATAACTTTTTGAAAATTTTTCTCGGCTTCATCAACCCATGTTTCATGTTCACTTTTGCTAAATTTTCAAAATGGTATTTTATACCATCGACAGTTTAATTATTCCTTTGGTTTCAACCTTTCACGATCTAAATTAAACAAATACTCGTACTATAAAGCAACAGCAAATTCTAATAAACACTAATTTATTTAATAATAATTCTGTACATGTGCAATAATAATATACGAAGCCTAGGTAATCTAGGCTTTATTAGTCGATTTATATTAAAATTAAGTCCAACTTTGATTTAAACCGTTTAAATGTTTTAGAATCTACAATGTTTTGATCCAAGTTATTCCTGCTGTCAATAACACAGTTTATTAAGAAATGGTATCTATGGATTTTTTAATTAATTACCTATGAAACTAATATTACGACATCTCGTATTTGAAACTATGAAGTCAGGTGGGTATTCCAAAATTAAATTATCTATAAAATTCTTATATAAATTATATTTTTAATACAGAATTATAATATAGAATTTAATCATAATAATATAGAATTTTATATATGATATAAAATTTTATTATTCTTATAAAAGTTATATTTTGCAAATTTTTTTCCAAGTATTAGCTTAAAAGCAACATAGCAAGATATAATCAAGCTAGATAGATAAGATATAGAAAGAAGATAGCAAGATATATGAAAGCAAGATATATAAGAAAGCAAGATATATAAGAAAATAAGATATATAAGAAAACAAGATATATAAGAATAAAATATAAAAGAATAGCAAGATATATAAGATATAGAAAGAAGATCACAAGATCTTGTGATCTTTTTTCAGATCCTGGCTTATGTTTAATTGTTAACAATTTATATATGTGCGCATCTATGCATCTGTAAGTGTATATATGCTTATATTTATATATGTGAGTGTTTTTCTTTATTTAATTATACTGGTATTGGAATTATTTTTAATTGTAACATCATATATACGGCATATAATTGTACTCTTTAATTGTACTTGTTACATTTTAATGTAAGCGAAATAATATATATATATATATATATATATATATATATATATATATATATATATATATATATATATATATATATATATATATATATATATATATATATATATATATATATATACACACACAATTTGTTACTAAGCAACAAAGCAAGATATATACACATCTTGTCACTAAGCAACATAGCAAGTTGTAAACGCAAGAGAAATGTAATCAAAAGCAGAAAGATGTTCATTATCTGATCTTGTTACTAATTCAGAAAAAAATATCAATAAAAACATTTACTTCGTAGTTGTCTGTTGATTCAAATGTTAAAACCATTGCAACAACATCTTTGTATTAGGAATGTTACGGAGGTGACTTTATTGGAGCCGAAATCGTAGGCTTTAAATTTAATTTGTCGAAATCGGTTTCAAAACCGGAATCGGAGGTAGAGTACAAAAAAGAATTGTTTTCACTAGGCTCATAAAATAATAAGATTATAATTCAGTAATAAGTATTTTTTTCTAGTCATATATATTAGGCCAGCGCCGCTAAAAAGTTGCTTATTTACCACTGGATCTGGTGTACACAACAGATGTTGGCGAGCGATCGAGTATAGTGTTTTTTTTTAATTTTTTTATTTTCTCTCTACCATAGCAAGGAATTTTTAGTCATCAGAATTCGTTTTTCTTTATTCTATTCGTTAAGTAATGACTTCCATACAATAATTTATCAGAAACTTAGGTGTTCGTTGTAGTGTTAATATCCTCATTATTGTTACTAATATCAATATATTTGATAAAATAGATGTAACATTTGACCGTCATAACTTTGTCCGTCTTTTAGCACGAGCACAGTGGCGGAACTACTGGACGCAGGACCCTGCGTTTCGGGGGGGGGGGGGCTACCAGCTATAGGGGGCCCTCATATAAAAAAAGTTATACTCTCAATAACATATATACTATAAAACTCTTTTCCGCAAAAAAAACATTCTTTTGGTGGGGGGGGGGGGGGGGGGAAACCCAAATTTTGAAGTTCCGCCACTGCACGAGCATCAGCATTTTTACCTTCTGCATGGTTTACAGTGTATTTGTGCTGCTAATTAAACTTAACAATTCGTATTCAACATGTTTTATATTAACTTCGTTAAAAAATTTCGTTTTGTAATGAGGATCTAAATAAGTAGCAAATACAAAATAATTGTTAAAAAAAGGTCCGCAATTTTTGAATTTAATTGTTTAATGGTATATTTTATTGCAATTTTAAATATTTTATTTGCGTCTGGTTTACTTTTTTCCAATTGTAATGAGCATTTTAGAATGTATATCAGTGGAATTACTGATGAAATGCTGGTGCTCTCACTCATATTTCTGGTAACCTCTTCAAAAGGTTGAAGAATAGACACTAATTTATTATTAACTAGCATACAGACACAACGAATCTTTAATTTAAATCATTTTTCCCAGCATCTACAAAGCGCTGTTCCACCTGTAAATGAAAGTAAAACAATATCCAAAGTCGTAAGTTTTGAAAAATTAAAAAAATATTAAGAATAAATGTAAATTTCTTACAGCGTGTTACTCTCTTGCACCACCCTTAATGCTTTTTGGTTGAGTTGCTCCTTTTTTTAGAGTTTCGTTTGAGCCACTTGAGAGTTATTAAAATGCATAGAGATATTCTTGCATTTCGATATTATCCTTTTGATTTCTTCATTAGAATCTAACATAGTTCTTACACAAAGTTGTAATTGATGTACGGCTCAATTTACATTAAGAAAAGCTAGCCTTGTTGCACGTATCATATTTGATCCACAGTCGCGAATGAAACAGTAATTTTACGAGGTTATATGCCATTCTAGTAGCATCTCATTAAATTTTTCATGAATTACATCTTCCGTGAGTCGACCATTAAATGGATGGCACTTAAAAAATAAGTTTAACTTTTTCAAAATCTTCTGTGATGCATTGGCTGTCAAACATAATAAGGAAACATTGGAGCTAGGTTCAGTCCAAATTTTAGTAAAGTTTTTAATTAAACCAACTATCTTACTTGCCAATTTAGGATACAATTCATCACAAATAAATAAAGTAAAAAAATGTCTTTCTCTTAACTGATAATTACACAAAAAACTAAAAAACCCGGTACCTCCCAAAAACTTTAAATTAAAATCTCAAAAACCAAAAGTTTTTGAGATTTTAATTTAAATTTTTTTGGGAGATTAATTTCCAGACATGGGTCTGGAAATTAGCTCAATTTTATTTCACATTAGCTCACATTTATTCAAACCAAAAAATGTAGGCTACGTCCTTGCTACGAAAGTTTAGATTTTTGCGTTTGGAAAACAGTTACTTGATATATAAAAAAAAATGTTAGGAAATAATGAACTGGTGTTTATTTTGGTCTTTTTCTCTTAAACACATACTTATTCGTCATTTCTTTTTATTCTATTACACAGACAATAAACAAATGAAAGAAATGTTATTATATACACAGACAACAAAATAAAGGAAAGAAATGTTTTTCACACAATTTTATTTGAAATAGTTAAACTTTCTTCAGTTAAACTAATTAAATTGCAACATTATCAAATAAGTTATTTGAGTCTCAACTTAAGATAATGCAAATTTTGTAAAGAAAATCTTACCTTTGACAAAGGCTTTGACCTTTGTCAAAGGTAAAATAAAAAATATGTAAAATATCTAAAAAAATTACAAGTTAAAAATTAACTGCACTAAAAACATGAAGACATTTAAACCTTAACAAGATATTTTGAAGTAGAGAAACGAAAAATTCAATTGAGCGACTAAAATAACGTCACAAAAATTTTGTGACGTCATTTAGTAGCTCAACATTAAATTTTTAAAGACCTTGATGAAAATTTATTCTAAGTTTCATCAAGGTCTTTGAAATTCTATTTTAAAGACCTTGATGAAATTTATTCTAAGGGGTCGTCCATGAAGGACGTCATTCAGAATTTAAATACAAAAGTTTATTGGCTCCCTTCCGCCGAGATTTTCATTGAACATAACGCTCTAAAAATCTCTGAGTACGAGAGCCAACATTCTCCTATTTCTTGCCATTAGTTAAACTTAGCGTGACGTTCTTAATGGATGACTCGAAAATACAAAAAGCCGTTTTCAGAAAATTGAAGTTTGCCGCAACAGACGAAAAGACTCAAGTTTTTTTTTTTTAATTTAATTTAAGATTGAATTTAATTTTAAATTAATTTAAGATTTATTATAAATTTACAAAAAAAATTAAATTATGCATTGTACCAGAAATAGTATAAAATTAAAAATTATTTTGTTACAAAACCAATAATAACAAAAATGTTTTTAATAATTAGAACATTTCTGTTATTATAAAAATTCATTTCTAGGCCTTGTCCTAATTTGATGCAGTATCATGCTCAAACCTAACCAGTTTTGTAATAGGTCTCTCAGGATAACTGCAACCTTCTTTATGAACATAATCATGATTCCAAGATAGCAACACTATGTCTCCAATTACCAAACTCTTTAAAAGATCTAGTCGTTCTTTTGTCAAACCAGTTGCTTCCTTGGAATCTTTTAAACGAACGTGGTACTTTTCCGATTTAGGGTCACCATATTCACCAGGTTTTTCATAATTTAAATACTCTTGTATAGCAAAGACAGCGGTTGATCCTCCATGCCCGCAGTTATCTGGACATAAAGAAGTCAGAAAAAAGCACGGTTGCTCAACAATTCCTTCAAACCGAGAGACAGTTTCGTGCAAAGAAAGCAAATCTCTAGTCGTCATTGCTACTATATTTACTATCTAAAAATAAAAAAAATTATGAAGTTTTAATAAGGTAAAATTTAAAATTTAATGTTACAAGCGACGATCGCAAATACTTTAATGATAAATGAATCCTCGCTTGATATATTAATCATTAATATATCAAATATATACTATCAGTTTACATGTTATATACTATATATACTAATAAATCTTTAATTATATAATAATCCTCGCTCGATATATTATCAGGTCAGTAAACTTTAACCCTCAACTTAGCATTATAACGCGTTTTTACACAAATTTATAAAAAGCACAACTTCTTAAAAAAAGAAAAAATGTTTTTAATTACAATAGAAAAATGGAGAACAACAAAGCATTGTCAAACTTTCGGTAAGAAAAATCGGTAACTTTCGGTATCTTTGTTTTATTGGAAAACAAAAGATCGCAATCAGATTTATTTTTTTAATTTTCCTTTTTTTGAAGATGATGCAGATTTCTTCGAAGATGGTTTTTTTTTACTATCTGTGCTAGTAACAGCAGCTCGTTTTTCTTTTCCGGAAACTTTTGAGACTGGTTCTTTTTTAATCAAAATCATTGCGTCTTTTTTAATATCTTCGCTATCCTCTTCTTCATTTTCTATATCTTCATTTTCTATATCTTCATCATCATCCTCGAGAACATTTTCTTGGCTCGCACCTTTAATTTTTTTAGGAGCTTGGTGAAGAGTGTAAGGAATCTTGTGTGTTTCTTTATTATATAGCCGAGTAAATGCTGATTTGACCTGTAAGTATAAATAAATAAAGTATTAAATTTGTATACTAAAACACGTTTGAATTATGTTTCATTTTTTTAAATGAAAATGTTAATACTTTGCTAGGGATTTTTGAGGCAATATCAGGTTCTTCTCCCCATTTACTGATTTCTAGAATTGAATCCCAATCCTCTCTTAAAAGATTATAATCATTCAGTGTTGAAATAACTAGTTTAGCAGCAGCAGAGGAGTCCAAGCTCTAGATGACAAATTTTACTTTGAAAGATCATTGTTTCAATAAAACTATTTTATAGTTTATATATATATATATATATATATATATATATATATATATATATATATATATATATATATATATATATATATATATATATATATATATATATATATATAATTTCAGTATTTAAAAACCGAACTAGAATCTTACAGAATCAAGTAATGGATCGGTTAGTCGCTTCTTTAGAACAGGAATATAGTCGGTGTTTACCTCAGATTTCAAACAATGAGCGCTAAAGTAAAATTAAACTAAAAAGTAAGAAATACGATTGTTAAAATAAAACAGCGCTATAAAAATGTAATTTATGTTTATGGTAGTAAATAAAGTAGATATATTAATTATGCTTTTATTGTTTATTGGTATTTAAAATCCTATTAGTGGTAGTATCGCAGTCTTAATCTAAAAACAGGCTAACACCAACACCAGGAAAGTCGTTAACCTGTTTTGCAAATAATTAAATAAAATTTTGTTGTTTTCCAATTATTTAAATAAAAAAAAGGAATTGTGAAAACTTGTCCAAACTACGCTAGAGCTTAGCCATGGACAACGAGCTTAAAAATATATCTATATCAGAAGAGTAAATGAATACTTTGAATAAATTTTTTTTTTTTTGAATAGACGTTTTAATTTTATAATAATAGTAATAATAATAATAATAGTAATCATTAAAAAAATAAAAAAATAAACAAACAATTATGTACATAAAAAAAAATTATATAACGTTATAAAAAAAACCTTAAAGACATGTGCATTTTCAGTTCTTGCAAAATACGATGGTTCTTGTTCATAGAAGAATTTTTTCCCAACCATCTAGGAAATTCAATTCGTTGTCCGATATAACCAGCCATTTTGACACAAGGAATAACTGTTGAAAATAACCCCTGAAAAAATGCATAAATAATAGATAATAAAAAGTTATAGTAAAAGCTTTTGTGTTTTTTAGACAAGTTTTCTAAAGGTCTAGATTAAAAAAAAAAAATTATTTCAATTACCAATAGATTAAATAAAAACTTATCTAATGAAAATATTTTCAACTCTTCTAAACTTATGCATAAAGATGCTCTTATAAAAATTTAAAAATTTCGAGCTAAAATTTGAAACAAAAATTGCAAAAAAGCGAAATAGAAATAAAAATGTAATTTAATTCAACCATCTGTAAAGCAAAAATGTTTCAACAAATATTGGAAAAGCGTTTTTAAAATTAATAGACAAAATCCTCACTCTAATAAAATTCACAAAATTTTTAACAGATTTAAAGTTAATTTTGAAAGTAATTTTTAATACTATTAAAGTTAGCTATAACTATACAAAAAATATTGAAAGAATTATAAAGGCAACAATTTTTGGTATTTGGATTGATTAATAAAAATGAATTTCTTCAAAAAAAAAAAAAAAAAATTAAAAATTTTAATTGCAAGCAAAAAATTGACTGCCCTAAGAATGGCAAATACTTATCCAAAAATATTATTTGCAAATGCAGTTTCGTCACAAAACAACCAATATATTGAACAATATATTGGCTTAACAAAGGGTGAATGGAAAAAACGTTATGCCAACCACAAACAATATTTTAAACATAAAAAATGCTCAAAAGAGACTATTCTGTCAAAATATATTTGGCAACTAAAAGAAAAAAATATTATCTTTAAAATAAACTCGTATAAACTTTAGTATAAATAAACATATTAACATTATGTTTATAAAAAAGACTTGCTTTAGTTAAATAACCATATTTAGTTAATTTATAATGTAATTTTTTTCCGCAAAAAACTGAAAATTAAAACTATTAAATCTTATGTTGGACCAACATTAAAATGCAACCCTTCTTAATAATCTTTCTAGTGTTTGTATCAGACATATTGATGATTACGTGATCAAATTGTGAAACAATTTTATGAAAAATTTTTTGAGAAATTCAGGGGGCTAAACAGTATAAAATGCATAGGTATGAGAAAAGGTAGAAAGTTAGTAAAAGATGATAAAGAAGTAATAAAAAATCAATTTAAAACTAAAAAACTTACTTGAAGAGGAAGTAAAGACCAACTTTGTTCTCCTCGGATTAAAACATCTACCAAATCACTATCCGAAAATGAATCAGCCGTTTCACTTATTAAATCAAGTGTAACACGAGGATTCCCTCTTAAAAAAAAAAGTTAAAACAATAATTTATAAGCATAACACCTCATCAGGGCTAAAAATGTAATATCATACCTAACCTCCTCTAAAATAGAGGAGAATAGGAATAATCACTACCAACTAATTTTCTATAAAGACAAAAGGCTCAGTCAATTTGGATTTAGTATTGAAGAGCAGTATCTTAAAAAGTAGATGTAAATATGTTGTTTTTTTTAAGTTTCCATTAAAATTTTAAGTAGTATGTAACTAACTTTTGGTTATTAGTATGTAACAAATTTTTAATTATTAGTATGTAACCAATTTTCCATGAAAATTTTGAGTAGTAGGTTGTATGGTTATAGTAAGCTGTATCTTAGAAGGTCGTGTAAAGTAGAAACCCTTAATACATATACTTAAATACATATTTAAATCATAATAAAATATTAATTTATTGCTGTAATATTTAGGAAAACATGTAAAGGAGTGCTGCTATATTGACTAAGGGTTAATGTTTAAATGTGTGTGTTCACTTATATATGTGATCTCAGTTTTGACATTTCTTTTCCTTCATTCTTCAAGACCACTGTCTGATATTCAAAGGTCTGAATGTTTTTGAGAAGCAGAGCATACTCAAAGTATATGCACTATTTTTTCAGATAAAGTGTGCTCACTAAGTGCATCCTTATCTGATCAGCACCTATGTAGATAGCCTTGTGGATTGATCACTGATATGGTGTTAGGATTTGAACGCCTTCAATAAAAACTAATACGCTCTTTTTTTGCATCATAAGATGACAGCTTTGAGCTTATAACAAGCCATCTTGCAATACTTGAGCTAAGTTTTCTTTTACTAGTTTTCTTTTATTGGTCCATTTAATTCCAAGGAAAAATCTTTGTTGGATGAGTTTGCGTTAATTTCAGATTAATCAAGTGGAACTGAGCTGGAAAGTGTGGATAGCCTGCACACAATCATTTCTATAGCCTTCATTCACTATGATGGATGGATAATGTTGCCAGAGGAATAAAAAAACTGGTCCTTGCTCTTAACTTAAAATCTAAAGATATTTTATCCTAACCTTTCAGTTTAATTACATAAAACAGTTCATTCAATGCATCAAAGTTTATTTCTTTTTGCTCATAATCTTGCAAAAGTTTTGTTAGTTACATATGATCTTTCTGTTATGTGCTTCCACTTAGCACCTTTTCACTATTTCACTTTTCTCTCTACCCCAAAGGTGACTAGGATTCTTTTCATGATTTGTGATGGTCTTTGGGGTGATCTATTTTCTCTCTCTGTTGATAAATGCGCCTCCTACACAACCTCCTGGATCCAGACAGGTACGGAAACATTTCTTGTCAATTCCAAATATGGAAACCAATCGATTGCAAAGTTAACATCTGCTAAGGTTGCTTCTCTTTATTCTGCTCATTATCTAACATCTGCTAAAGTTGTCTAATGAAAGACTTTTAAAACTATCAACACGATACACTGTTGGGCTGTGAAGGACAATTTGACACAAAAGACAGATTTCAAACTCACAAATTTTTACTCAACTGCCTGACGATATGAATATTAGTGCTTGCTTGCCTTGTCAAGGACTTTAACTTTCAATCATATTGTGCTGTATATTTAACTCATGTCTTTCTCAAAAAAATATTTGTGAGTGTCTTAAATTTAAAAAAGATATTGGACTGTTAAAGTGTGGCAATGCGTCATGTTTTCAGTCAAAGCGCAGTAAACTGCAATAAACTGTTTGCAGCATACAGTCAATGCTGCAAAGAATAGAGGTTGTTCTAAAAGTTTGAAGCAACCATACAAAGTACGAACAAATGTTTTATACTGTAACTTCTTTTTTCTCTTATGTTAATGTATATTATTTTTTTGATGCCACCTAACACCCTTGAAAAATTAAAAGGTCTTAAATATTATAAAAAAAAAATGTTTTTAAAAAATATGTCAATCTGGATCTCACATAAAGCATAATCATACAAAAATTTTAGCTTTAAAAAAATTTTTCCTAATTTTCCTAATTCTGGATAATGCAATTGAACCTAAATAATGTTACACATATAGCACAACATATATATATATATATATATATATATATATATATATATATATATATATATATATATATATATATATATATATATATACATGCTAGGTTTAGGGGTATACATACGCATTAATTCCCCTATTTGTCGTGAAATCAGGTTCGAATCCTTTGACCATTCTTTTATGTGCTTTCGCCTAGCACCTCTTTACTCTATCACCTTTCTCTTTGTTCTTTATCGTTCTCCTTCTTCCCATGATTGCACTCTTTTAGATGTTATCTCTGATCAAATTGACCATGCCCTCTCTCTTTACCCCTCTGCCAATATTGTTGTTGTTGGTGATTTTAATGCCCATCACACTGAATGGCTTGGCTCTAACACCACTGATCCTGCTGGCACTAAAGCCTTTAACTTCTGTGTTTCTTAATCTCTTACTCAGATAGTTAACTTTGTGACTCGTTTTCCTGACAACCCTAATCATTTACCTTCACTCCTTGACTTATGTCTTGTCTCTGACCCTAGCTTATGATCAGTTTCTCCCTTTTCTCCCTTAGGGGGTTCTGACCATGCAATGATCTCTATAAATCTTTCTTCTCGTACTTCTTTTTGGGCTCACCTTATCATCGCACCACCTACTACTACCCTAAAGCTGACTGGGATTCCTTTCGTGATTTTCTTCGTGATGGTCCTTGGGCTGATGTTTTTTCTCTCTCAGCTGACAAATGTGCCTCCTACGTAACCTCCTGGATTCAGGCTGGAATGGAAGCTTTTATTCCTTCTCGTCGGTTTCAAGTCAAGCCTCATTCTACTCCATGGTTTTCTCCTTCTTGTGCGGCTGCTATATCCAATCGTAATCATTTTTTTCATCTTTTTCAAAAGAACAACTCTCTTGAGAACAAACGGCTATTTATTATTGCAAGAAATTGATGTAAAAAGGTGCTTTCTGATGCTAAACTCCATTATTCTCAGTTCACTAAATCTCGCATCTTATCGCAGAAGTTAGGCTCTAAAGACTTTTGGAAAATCTTCAACAGCATTGTTAACAAGGGTAGATCTAACATTCCATCTCTCATTCATGGGACTGATCTTGTTACCTCTCCCAGGGATAAGGCAGAACTGTTTGCAAAGAACTTTTCTTCTAATTCCACTCTTGAATCTTATGGACATTCTCTTCCTTCCATTCCAGTCAAACAGGTTGACCCATTGTTAAACATTCAAATCACTCCGGCTTCTGTTGCTTAAGTCATATCTCAATTAAACTCATCTACAGCTTGTGGTCCAGACAACATTCCTGTCACAGTCTTGCAAAATTGTTCTTTAGAACTTTCTTCAATTCTCTCTAAACTATTTAACAAGTGTTTGACTGAACCTTGTTTTCCTGCTTGTTGGAAAATGGCATCTGTGGTTCCAATATTCAAAAACTCTGGAGAAAATTCTGACCCCTCCAATTATCGTTCGATCAGTCTTCTTTCTGTTATTAGCAAGGTCTTTGAGTCTTTGATCAACAAATTCCTCACATCTCATCTTGAGTCAAATAAACTGCTGTCAGACAATCAATACGGTTTTCGATCCTCTCGCTCTACGGCCCACTTGCTAACTTAAAGCAAGGTTCCATCCTGGGCCCTGTTTTGTTTCTCTTATTCATCCCTGTATGGAATATTGTTGTCATATTTGGGCTGGTTCTTCTAACGATTCACTTTCTCTTCTTGACAAGGTCCAAAAACGCATTGTAAATGTTGTTGGACCTGGACTATCTGCTAAGCTTGAACCTCTTTCCCATCGTCGTAAAGTTGCATCTCTTTCTCTGTAACTGAAAGATTTTATCGTGCATTAGATGGAGGCGGTGAGGCTAGGGCTATTGCTCTTGACATATCTAAAGCTTTCGACAAAGTTTGGCATGCTGGTCTTCTCCATAAGCTTGCTTCATATGGTGTTTCTTGAGAATATCAAATCATTTCTTTCTAACCGGTTTATTAAAGTCATCCTTGAAGGCCAACACTCTTCTTTATTTCCAGTAACTTCTGGGGTTCCCCAAGGTTCCATCCTGGGCCCTGTTTTGTTTCTTATCTACATAAACAATCTTCCTGACAACCTTTCATCTACAGTAGCTCTTTTTGCTGATGACTCAACTTTATACTCCTGTCTTGACAAAAAGTCTTCTCTTTTCGAATGCCTAGAACAAGCAGCTGATCTTGAATCTGATCTCACTTCGGTAATAGATTGGGGTTCACAGTGGCTTGTGAATTTTAACTCTAAAAAAACCCAATTGCTTACTGCAAACAACTACCGTAATATGGTCAACATTCCTATATTAATGAATGGCAATCCTCTTACTGAGTCGTCCTCTTTACGTCTTCTTGGATTATCGCTTACTACTGACCTTTCATGGAAACCATATATACAATCAATTGCTAAATTAGCTTCTGCTAAAGTTGCTTCTCTTTATCGTGCTCGCCATTTCCTTACTTCTGATTCCATTCTCTACCTCTACAAATCTCTTATTCGTCCCTGTATGGAATACTGTTGTCATATTTGGGCTGGTTCTTCTAACGATTCACTTTTTCACTTCTAACGATTCACTTCTAACGATTCACTCTTCTTGACAAGGTCCAAAAACGCATTGTAAATGTTGTTGAACCTGGACTATCTGCTAAGCTTGAACCTCTTTCCCATCGTCGTAAAGTTGCATCTCTTTCTCTTTTCTACAGATACTATCATGGTCACTGCTCAAAGGAGTTATCATCTCTAGTTCCATCAACTAAAATTCATTCTCGTTTTACTCGTCATTCAACTAAGTCTCATTCGTTTACTGTATCTGTCCCTGCATGCTCTAAAAACTTTTATTCATCTAGTTTTTTTCCCCACACTTCAATCCTTTGGAACTCTCTCCCATCTTCATGTTTTCCTGACTCATACAACCTTCAGCTTTTCAAGTCTTCTGTCAACCGTTTCCTTGCTCTATAACTCTGTTCTTTTTTTTTCCTAGTAACTCCCAACTTAATAGTGGTTGCTTGCAGCCTTGTTGGGAGTGAATGCAAATAAAAAAAATAAATAAATATATATATATATATATATATATATATATATATATATATATATATATATATATATATATATATATATATATATATATATATACATACATACATACATAGCACAATACATAATATAGCACAACGCAACATTGATGGTCAAGATCTAACATGTGTCTTTGGGGATTTATTTCTTTGTTTAATTAGCTTTTTCGAATCTTTACACTAAAACATTGTCAGTTTTAATCTTTAGCATTGTTAACAGTTTTTTCAAGAAAGTTGTTGGAAAGATTCGACAAATATCTTCAAACCCTTTCAAAAACTCATAAAGAGCTTTAATCTGTTTACTAATCAGAACTTTTCTTCTTTAATTAACTTTTTTATTATTATGGAAACACAAAATAATGTAATAAAAATAAACAAATACCTTGCTTTAGCAGGGTTGGTATACAAATAGTTTTCCTGCATAAACAAGGGTATAAAAGAATAATCCATGAAGAATAGATCAGTAATTTCATTATAAGACATCTTTGAGCAGTCATTAGCTGTATACAACTGTTTCACAATATCAAATGGTCCCTACAAATTCATAATAAAACAAAATATATAAATATAAAAGTCTAAATAATATATGTAAAATTAAATATACGTAAAATATAAAAATATGTAAATAATATATGTAAAATATTAAAATATGTAAAAAATATATGTAAAATTAAAACAAATTAATACAAAAACTAATAAAAGAATAAAAATAAAAAAATGAATTAAAAACAAAAACAAAAAAACTAAAAAAATTTTTTTAATAAATTAATGATAACTATATAATGTTTAATTAATAAATTAAATAAAAAGTTGTTTTTATTTAATTTAATATATATATATATACAAATAGTATTGCGTACTAAAGTAAGCAATCTGATGTCATACTGAAATAGCCTGCTGCTGGGGGCTTCAGTACATACATCGACTGACAAATAGCCTGACTCGCAGTCCACTGCTAGTCAGGCTATTTGTCAGTGCTGCTACATCGATTGAGGGTCTGGGATGGGAAAGCAATCGTTTTATTCATCATTCTTTGTTTTTTCTTCTTTTTCGAAAAAAACGATAAAGCTTAAGGTAAGCAGAAAAAGTGAGCAAATGCTTATCAAAACACGTTTTAGTAAGTGTATATATATATATATATATATATATATATATATATATATATTATATATATATATATATATATATATACATATACAGTATGTCAAAAAGCCAAAAACAAACAAATTTGATTGATAGAAGTTATTCTAACTTATTTTTTTAGCAAAGTTTGTTTTCTTTTTAGGTTCCTAATAAAAAAATTATGGTGAAAAGATATGAAATTCATGAATCAGTAAAAGAGCTGATCCTGGGACACTATAAAAGTGGAAAAGGGTATAAAACTATTTCTAAAATAGTAAATATTAAATCTAATAGTGTAGAAAATATCATAAGAGAATAATAAAAAATGGGTACCATAAAAAATTTGCCAAGAAAAGGATTCCCAGCTAAGACTACTTTACGCATTGATAGATTAATTATTCGGAAAGTTGAACAAGATCAAGGATTAGCTGCACCAAACTTGCAAAAGATTTACAAACAGATCATGGTATAACTGTAAATCCTCAAACTGTTTGCAATTGGTTGAAAAATCAAGGTTTTGTAAGTAGAGTTGCTCCAAAAAAGCCTTTTTTGAGTAAAAAAGAATCAAAAGAAAAGATTGGCTTGGGCTAAGAAACATTCAAATTTGAATTAACGACCAATGGCGAAGAGTTTTATGGTCCAATGAAACAAAAATATGTTTATTTGGTTCTGATGGTATCATACGCAAATGGAGAAAAAATGGTGGACGCTTAAACCCTAAATGTATGAGACCAACTGTCAAGCATGGAGGAGGTAACATTAAGCTTTATTATAAAACTTTTAATATTATATACATTTTTAACTTTTTTTTTCCTCTTTTTATAAATCGAATGATGGTTTGGGGCTCCTTTGCTTGGAGTGGTGTTGGCAAACTTGAATTCATTGATGGAATAATGACAAAAGAGGTTTATACTGATATTCTGAAGCAAAAACTGAAATTAAGCGCCAGAAGTGCTGGCTTATCTCGTAATTTTATCTTTGAACAGGATGGAGATCCTAAACACACACCAAAGTTAGCTACTCAGTGGTTAAAAAAAAAACAGTATTAAGATGTTAGAGTGAATTCCTCAGTCACCAGACCTAAATCTGATCAAAAATCTATGGAATCTTTTTAAAATTAAAGTAGCTGATAAAAAACCATCGAGTTTGTTGCAATTAAAGATTCTTATTGAAGGGTGGGAAAAATTTGACCCACAATAGCTTAAAAGCTGAGTAGATTCAATGCCCAAAAGATGTCTTGCAGTCATCAAGGCAAAAGGCGCACAAATAAACTATTCATTTTAGATCAGCAAAATAATTATTTAAGGAGTTTTTTAATATAAATACAATATTTCAATAATAATTACAATAATAAATACAATATTCAATATTTAAAAAAAAATTAAGGTCAAAAATCTAAATTTAAGCATAAAAAAAATTGTTTTTATTGAAAAATCATTAGGGGGTGACTTTTTTGACATACTGTATATATATATATATATATATATATATATATACTTATATATATATAAATAAATTAAAATAAAAAAAATAATTCAAAAAACTTTTATAATTATTTATAATGTGTTAAGAGCAACTTTCAAAGTTAAATTTTTAAAGTTACCAATTTTATATTTTTGCTTGCATCATTCGCATTAGATTTTGCTTCATCATAATTTAAGACACTTTTTGTACTGTTCCACATTTGCAAATTATGCAAAACCTGAATAAAAATAGGAAAATAAGTAATAAGAAGAAATTAATTATTTTTAAAAATAAAAACTAAATTAAAATAAAAAAGTCTGGAAATATTTAATGCACTAATAATTTTTTTTTTGATGGGCTTTTTAATAAACAACTGAAGAATTTCATTCAATTATTGTGTTCTTACACTTAACTTTTCTTATGTATCTATATTGTTGTTGTGTTTTTACATGATTTTCAGAAAACATCGGGATATCAACTTTATTAACGGAAAAAAAAAATTGATAAGAAATTTTATTTACATATTAGTTCTCTTGCATATGTAGATACTGTTCATTCACACATTACATCCATTAACGAATCTTTGGTTTTATTGGAAGCATTAGAATTAAGTAGGGGATGAATGGTGATCCCCCTCCTCAGGAATGCACTGCAATCACCAATGACATTTTGGGGAGCCCAACACCTGCACTTAGACCACTTATCAGAGGTGTGATCCTTTGCAACCGCACTTAGACATTTGTACCATTTTGCTACCCAAAATGTGGACTTAGAGTTTGCTTAATAATGGTATTACTGATGAAATTAATATTTTCATAAATTGCTTTTAATGAGGAATAAGTCCTCTATGTTTATCACATCAGATGCGCCAAAGGATCAGCCCTTTAATAAACCCAGTTCTTTAATAGATTTATCAAATCTATTAAAGAACTTACAGCTGTTTCACACAATATAAAATATTATCATTATTGTCAATATAAACTATTGTCAGGTCAGGCTATCCTGCTACTGGTAAATTGTAACCCAGTACAACATGCTTTATGTCTTGCTTTTTTAGATTTTTTAGGCAAAGGCTAGGAGAAGCTAACTCAATTTTGAGTTGGCTTCTCCTAGCCTTTGAGTATTTTTATAGAGATAGTGTCTCTATAAGTATTTAATGCCAATGAGCATTTTTATAGAGATAGTGTCTCTATAAAAATACTCATCTTGAGCAGACATTAAATGCATCCAGCTACTGTCTTGTAGAAAGCCGCTTAGGCAAAGAGTAAAGCATAAACAGATTCTATCTGTTGACCAGCCTTGCACTCTTTCTTTCGCTTTGTTTTCCAGCCTGCTGGAAAGTAGCATCTGTTATCCCTATTTTCAAAAACTCTGGAGAGCAATCTGACTCATCTAACTACCGTCCCATACCATAGCCTTCTTCCTATCATGAAAGTTTTGAGTCTTTAATTAACAAATATTTAATCACACATCTAAAAACTTACTTTAATTATCATTAATATGGATTCCAATCTTCTCGTTCTACAGATGATTTGCTAAAAGTAAAATCTGATAGGTTTTATTGTGGATAAGATAGATGTGGAGAGGTTAAGCTATCGCTCTCAACATTTCTAAAGCTTTTGATAAAATTTACCATGCTGGACTTCTCTATAAACTTTCTTCTTACGATGTATCAGGTAACATCTTTAAGATTATTGAATCCTTCCTTGCAAATTGTAGTATAAAAGTTGTCTTCGATGGATAGCACTATCTTATGCATATCCTATAACTTCAGGGGTTACTAAAGGATCCTTAGTCATATACTCTTTTTATTTTACATAAGGGGTCATTTAAGGAGCTTTTTTTTTGCAATACTTAGCGGAAAAATTTGGAGGATTTTGAAACCTTAATGACAGGTTTTTATTGGGGGGCCTCCAGCATATTAGCCAAAGCTCTGTTAAAACCTGTTTTTTGCTGACTCAAAAAAGATGTTGCCTGAAATACAAGTCCGCCTTACTCAGAGCTAGTATATTAGGGATGACATGTGTATGCATAGTTATGCTTACATAAAAGAATATATGGTATAGAAGAGTCGAGGGTATAGTGTTCCTCTATATAGAGGAACACTATACCCTCGACTCCCCCTATAAAAGGATATATTCCTTTTATGATATCAAACTTTTTAATGTTATAAAGTCTCTGAAACAAGAAAATGTACTTCAAAGACAGAAATAAACAATCAAAACAGTTTAAGGCCATGTCCAGAACAAATATATATATATATATACATATAAATATATATATATATATATATATATATATATATATATACATAGTCATAGTATTTAACTAGTCTGGAAACGCGGGCCGTTTTCTTAAAACACTTAAGTTCCTCTCGATACTAGTGCTCAGCCTACTTTAGAGTGCATCAAGTTGTAAACATTGTATTTCGCTATAGATAAGTTACATATATTCTGGGATAAATATTGAAATGGCATGAACAAATTGTGATTTTTTTGGTTATTCAGTTTCAAGTTAATATTTTAGATTGCATTTATATTTCGTATTCCGAATAAAAATGATGAATATAGCATAAAATAAAGACATCAACTGTTGGTAAATGTAGTTATGTGACAGAGTTTGTATTGGTATAAATATGCTTATTCAACCATATAGCTTATATCATATAAGCATTTATGTTATATGCACTATATGAAAATATGTTATAGATGCAAATATTTTATCAACTGTATAACTTGATGGATGTATATGGGTATAAATACTTTGTATTATATTCAGAGTATATTTATTTAAAGTGTTAGCTAATATAGCTTAATAAACTCTATATTCTATATATAGTTTACTTAGCTAGATTAGTTGATAATTTATATATCACTCTTTACACTATGCTGGTATCTTCTCCGGAAACAAGAAAAAATAAGGTACAATTTTTTCATTTTGAATGGTTTCAAAGCTAAATTAGATGTTGGTATCTTTAAAGATATGTGTTATACCCTTAATATAGCATATTTATCTACCTTAGAGAGAAAATTATATCTTAATTATTACCTAAATTATATTAAAAATAGTGATTTGTTTAATTTTCTACCTTACAAGGAAAAAAAAATTTACTTTTAAAGAAACAATTTTTTAGAAGGTAGAAGATTTTACCTTACTATGTGCATATCACATATTCTACGCTACAGTAGAACTTCTACCTTTTTTACAAGTGCTATACTAACAATAAATGTTGTGCAAAAATATTTTTCTATTTTTATTAATAAGTAAAAAACTTAATCAGTAAAAAAAAATAGGATTTTAATAAATACTTTAAAAATAGCTAGTATATCAAAGCTTCTTAAACTAAAATTCAAAAGCTCGTATATAAAATTTTATTTTTATTATGCTGTATTACAATTTATATAATAGCAAATAAAAAAAATATACTTGATGCAATAAAGATGATGCCAAAGTCTGCTACCAAATATTGCATCACTATCATACTTAAATCAAATTTAATTCAATAATAAAAAAAGTACAGTGTACTATAAGAAAATTGCAGAATTATTTTAAATCTTGATTTTAAGCTATAATTTAATATCTATTTTGTTGAATGCAGAAAAATAATATCTCAAAATCTAAGGTTATCTTTAACTAAAATAAGATATTTGTGTTAATTTTTTAGTTTCAAATTCAGCTGCAGTGTATGATGATATACTTGACTAATCTAGACGATATACTTGACTTTTACAACTGGTGCCACTGTATGACTAATGTTTCTTTTGCTTTAGAAAGCAATCAAAATTTCTTAAAACTTGTTGTTTGTAACTTGCGATGTTTATGCAAATCGCAAGTTGTTGAAAAAGCATTTTAAATGATTCGTTTATGCCTAATCTACCACATTAAAATAAGACAACTCGTTACTGTCTAATTTAAATATGACTTATCCAACTTAAAGCGTATGGAAAAAAAGATAAATGTAAGGATGGTAAGTTTATACAGTGGAACCACATTGCTTATATATTCTATGAAGACCTTTGTATTTTACCTAAACTTACTTTTGAGCATATAAAGTTGGCAAAATATTTATTAAAAAGTGTTAACCTTGCTGTCTAAGTAATAAGTTTTTGCTGTATTAAAAACTTTATTACATTATGAAATAGCTTATTTGAAAATTATTTCCAACACTAACAATCACTTAATGCTTGCAAGGGTAACCCATCATTTAACGACTTTCAATAATAACAAAATAAAAAATACTTTTAGTAGCTGAAAATGTATTTAGCTACACAGGTATTATAAAGTGGTAGTAATATAGTATTAAGTCATGCCAAAAAAAAAAAAAAAGATGTTATTAGATTAGTTAAAAAATAAATATTTTTTATATATGTAAAATAGCCGTGTTGTCATTATTATTTTAAATTAAAAGACAATTATATTATTTTTATTATTCAATCTTTTATTGTTGTTTTATTATAAAGTTATTACACCATAAAACTATTAAATATACATGAAGCATTTATTGAACTTACTCTAGGAGCTAATTATATACCAATAATATTTTTAAAAAATATGTGGCTATGAAAATAGCCGTTTTAGTAGGTTCAAGTCATATCACTTTTTCTTTAATGTTCTTGTTCCAGAATAGAAAGTGTTTTTTAATTGATATTCTTTATATATCAATTTAGTTTGACTCTTTCAGGTTATATTTTGCAATGTACAATCTACGAACTTGTATGTAAAATGTTAGATGATCATGCATACTTAGCTGCAAGCAAATACGATAAACACTGCTCATTATACAACTTAGACATGTTAGAAAACCAATTGTAAAATTAGAGGTACCAAAAACATTCCCACTAAGTCATAATAGAATGTTTTGTTTAGTGATGTAGAGGGATACATGCTTAAATGTTATAATCTTATTGATAAAAGAGGCACTAGTTAGATAAACAAAGACAAGATTTGCTACTTCAAAACATGAAAGAAATTGTTTTTTCAGAAAAAGTTTTGTAGAATCGATTCTATAAAATATTTTCTGAAAAAAAAAATTTCTTTCATGTTTTGAAAGCATTCATGTTTTGAATGCTACTTCATGTTCTTTCATGTTTTGAAGTTGTCATCATTTTTACTAGGAACTAAGCTGTAATGACTTCTTGAAATAATTGAAATATTTATACTTGATTTTAAACTTTTAATGCCAGCTTGTAGCAAAGTACTATTTATCTGAAGCAATCTTGATTAAATAATTGTAAAATCTAATAGGTTGAAGAATAATCTTTGCTTTTTTTTATTCTTTACTAAATGTTTATCAGTTTCTTGCAAAACAAACACATAAATATTCTTTCTTCGCTTTAGTTAGGATAAATTAAAATAGGTAGTCTAATGTTAGAACTAAAATTGAGATCTGCCTCCAACAAATAGCAATTCAATAACAGCTAAAACAGCATCGAATTCATTCAAATTTTCAAAGTCTGCGCTACAAAAAGTCATTTTAAAAACATTTGATGCACTCTCAGTCCGGTCACCCCTTAAAGCTCAAGTTATTTTACGAAATCGATAGAAAACGGCCCGCGTTTCCAGACTAGTTAAATACTATGACTATGATATATATAAATATATATATATATATAAATATATATATATATATATATATATACATATATATATGTGTGTGTATATATATATATATATATATATATATATATATATATATATATATATATATATATATATATATATATATATATTCACTCAAAGGGCAATTCCACTCAAGTGACGGTCGCAACATTTGACACTCTTTTAGCTATTAAAAGTCAAATAAGAATGATATTGATTTGAAATTTTCCAGAAATGTTAAATACTATTATAAAATTTAGTATACAAAATTTCAAATCTTCAACTTATTTGAAAAATCAACTCAATGTAGCCTGACGGTCGTAACGCTTACTTTTTGACAAAAAAATCGACTTTGACAATCTTTATGCAGTCATCTACGCAGTGAAAAAAAAATTCTTTGCTGTGTGCATTCACTACATATTCATCTTGCTATATGCCAAGTTTCATAGTTTTTGCTTGATGTTTTACAAAAATTTTATTATGTTTTTTGTCGTAATGGTTGTAACCATGACGGTCATAACGAAAATGCTAACAGTGAAAAACAACTGAATGCATGGCGCATTTATTGAATTCATTGCATGGCGCAATGAATGGCGTAAAAAAGATGAGTGATTATGAAAACTAAGTAGTTATGTTAAAATATGCACTTTATAACATTATCACTGGGATCATATTACATTTATAATGGGTATAATGATCCGGGTATGACAATGACTGGGTATGATAATGATGACTGGGTATGATAATGATGACTGGGTATGATCATATTACTTTTATTTGGATTAAGCAACAAATGCTTAATGCCCTTTTATTCTCCTGCTTGAAACATAGGTTAAATAAATAATTATATTAGACAAGAAAATTTCTTTAACAAAGTATATTTAAAGTAAAATTTTAAAACTAAAAATTTTCCATTTTTTATTTGCCAGAAATGCATTTTGGTAACATTTTTAATGGCTTTTGCTTCTTTTTATTTTGTTGGCTAGTAAAGCCCACTTTAGATTAACAGTGTTGATAAGCCTAACATAAGTTTTTCACTCATTTGATGCTAAGAGGAAGTCTTGAAGTGTTTAAGACGACAAATTGCCAAGATTTTATGCTATTCTAAACATATCGCTTAGTCCTCCTACTCCATCGCTTCAAGAGTCCTCCTACTCCATCGCTTCAAGAGTCCTCCTACTCCATCGCTTCAAGAGCCCTCCTACTCCATCGCTTCAAGAGTCCTCCTACTCCATCGCTTCAAGAGTCCTCCTACTCCATCGCTTCAAGAGTCCTCCTACTCCATTAACTGCTCCTTTACCGTGAGAGGTAGCAAAGAAATTCCATTCTATACTCTGAAAATGATATTTAACAGTGCAATGTTGTATGAATTTGGCCATATATCTATTTTTGAATTGAGTGCAAGGACCATCACTCCATAATATAACTTTTTTAATATAATCTATGCAATAGAGGTAAAATATTTCACTTAAGTATGTAGTAGTGGTGCGTTTTGTTTTATCATTATCGTTGGATATTAGTACAACTGATTTTGGCACTAATTGGTAATGCTAGATTACAACTGTAAACAAAGTAATAGTTGACTGTGACCAATAAGCAGCTTGAACAGCATCCTGATAACCACATGTATAGTTTTGTGAATAATTGAAGTGTACCAAAACTTGGTCTGGTTCGAGATTTTCTTTTTGACTGCAGTATTGCTCAGACTGGTGCTTTTTAGTGAAATGATGATTGGTAAACTCTGGTAAATAATTGCGGAAATGTTTAAAAACATGTTGACTCAGTACACAGCAATGATCTTCTTTTATCCACCAACTATAGGTAATTAATGTATCTAAGTCTCCGTTTTCGGACGAAGAAACTCTTAATAATTTGCTATCACTACATAACTAACATTTCATAATCCAGCAATTGTACGTAGGGGGCTTGCACAATACATAATTTTCTAACCATTTATTGCAATACAATGGAAAAGGTATTTTACTTGCCAAAGAAGCACACAAATAAGTAAAATTACTGTGATAAACACAACCTTATGTTTCAAGTGGTGTGTATTTGCACTTAAGAATGTATGCAGGCCTTAATTCACAAAACTTACTTAATTCAATTGTTTTGCCGGCACTCTCCTCACAATACAGTTGATGCAGCTCCTTTAAATTCATAACCAAGTAGCGCTTTTGAACTTTTTCTCCGCCAATTTTAATACAATCTTTTCTTCCAGGAGACATTATTGATATATCTTCTCTTTCATAAAAAGTTTTTACTTTTTCAATTTTTTCTGATGTAAAGTGAACTCGCTCTGTTTCTTTAGTAGTACATAGCCCATATTCAGCTCCCAACTGCTCTACAATAGTTCGTCTTTTATTTGGAAACTTTGGAAGAGCCTGTTTTGTCCTAAAGATGTTGATTGATATAAAACCCAAATTATGCAAGAGCAATAATATTAAAAAACAAATGTTAATATAATTAACTACTGATTTAATGCCTTTCTCACTGACAATTTGCAGTTATAAGAACTGTCAGGTGTAGAACTTAAACTGACGCTAGTATTGAAATCAATTTTTTTTTTTCATTCTTAACCTTTGGTTGCGAACCTTCACTTGATTTTTTTGTTTGTTTTCTTTTCTTGGTGTCAATAACTGTTGCCTTTCATAACTTTTCTTTCTTTCTTTCTCCAAAAAATTATTTCTGTTTCTTGCTCTATAAGCTTTCAATCTTTCAGTTGATTTAGGCATTTTTAAAATGTTTTTAAATATGACAGCTTCTGTTAGTGATAAAGTGTTGTAATGTATCTGTTATAGATTTAAACTTGATTTAAAAAATTGATTTAAACTTGATTTAAAAAAAGCCGTTTTGGAAAAACAAACATATTGTAATGGTCGTAACTTGCTTAATAACGTCTTGATAAGATGATCTAAAGCACTTTAAAAAAAAAAAATTGAAACAATGATAAAATTTTTTATCAAAAAATTTTGTATTATTATTTTTACTTTTATCATAGTTGTAGTTTTAAAAAGTTTGATACGAAGCATAGAAAAAACATTTTTTGACTTTTTTTCATGACGGTCGTAACGAATTATTTTCATAAATACATTCTTCTTATAGACCTAGTTAGAGTGCGTTTTTATAAAAAAATATTATGAATAATGTTTAATTTATTCTTTAATTCAAACTTAGAAGTAATAGTTATTTAAAAACACAGCACTAAAACCTTTTTCAACGCTTTACAACAGTGCTGTATATAAACATTAAAAAATGTTTATATAACCCTTACAACTTTATAACTATGTTAAGGTATGATAAAAGGATTTTTTTTAATAATTTTTTTCCTAAAGATATTGTTAAATAGTTGAAAAATAAGTTTATTGAGGTTACTATATGTTAGCATGAAAAAAAAAATTTTTTTCCCCCCTCCTTACGTGGAATTGCCCATATATATAGCTGTTTAAAATTAATAAGAGGCTTGAGTTCAATATGGCAAAAATTGAAAGAATTGAATCAAAAATCTTCTTAAAACAAAAATAATTTTAGCAATAATTAACTTATAGTAAATAGTAAAATAATTAAATTATAGTTAATAGTAAAACAAAAACTTGCTTGTCTTATATCTTGGTTTGCACCAACAACAATTTGCTCCATAGCTTGAGGTTGAATTTTAAAACCTTCACGTGCTGCTACACTCATTGCAAAACCCTATGCAAAAAAGTAGATCAGTTAGTTTACATGTAGGCAAAGTAGATAAGTTAGTTTACATGTAGACAAAGTAGATAAGTTAGTTTACATGTAGACAAAGTAGATAAGTTAGTTTACATGTAGGTAAAATAGATAAGTTAGTTTACATGTAGACAAATTAGATAAGTTACTTAACAGTGTCTGATAATCAAAAAGTAACAAATAAAATGTCCAAAACAAAGTGAGACAACTAAAAAAATTTTTAGTACAGAATAAGACTTTTTAATCATGCAAAATATTTAAATTTATACTTTGATTTGTTCAACACGTGGCTTATAAAAACGCAGATCGAAGCAGTAATTTGAAAGACTTCGAACTTTTGGATGATTACGATCATTGCACATGCATATGATTGGGATTTTTGTTTTTTTTATGAGTTGAATAAGTTCCTACAAATAAAATAAATACAATTATTTAAATAAACTAAATAAAAATTTATATTAGGAAAATATATAATAAAATAAAAACATACAAAATAACAAAACACTTAAATTTTCATATCTTTGTTGTTTTGTGCACAACATATAAAAAAGGCAGTCTTAGTGAAATAAAGTCAAAAAAAAAAAAATGAATAGAATTGAAATAATTAAATAGTATATCCAATATTTTTTAAACATATTTATATATATTTTTATCAAGTGAATACATTCCTTTTCAAGTAATTTACTATCTAATGGATTTTCATGTTCATTTATCATGAATGGTTCTTTGTTTTTAAAGCTGTTTAAGCTTCTTTTCATTTATTCTAAATTTAATATTTTGATGTTTATTTTTGGTTCTTTGTTTTTAAAGGTGTTTATTCTTTTTTTAATTTATTATCTATAATAAAATTACAAATTATCGCTATAATTATTTTTAAAATAAAAAAAATTTGTGTTATATTTATACCTGCATTCCTCCCCTGTCTTCTGTTCCAGCCATACCATCAACTTCATCCATGATTAAAGCATGTTTATCTCCAGTATTACCTAAAACATATTATATTAACCCTATGAATAAATCAATAATTACACTGTCACCATATCTCAAATTATTACATAAAAATAAATAACAATAATAATAATAACAATAATAATAATAATAAAGTAACCTTGCATAACTCCTGCTACAGTTTTGTTAGAAAGTGCATCTTTTATAATTGTTTCCAGAGCTTTTTTCCCTCTAGTATCACTAGCATTCATTTCAATGAATGAAAAACCAAGTTCCTATATTAATTAATTTAAAATTAAATTTCACACTTTATCCTAAGTTATAAACTCTTTTTTTATTTTTCAAAAAATTTTCAAAAACTTGTTTAAAAATTTTCCTGCAACAGAAGTTTTAAATTTCATTCTCTTTAAAATGTTTTCTTAAAATTTAAATTTAAAAATTATTTTAAGTAAAAAATATTTTGTTGCATATATTTTTAACTCATACTTTAAGTAGACGTTAATTATTATAATATAATAAAATGAGTATTTTATTTTAAAATTATTAATATAAAATAAAATAAAAATTCTTATATGATAAAACAAAAATTATTAATATATAATTATGTAAGTTTTTTTATATTAATCTTAATTTTAAACGTTTTCTTCAAACTATCTCTCAATTTTTATTTTTTTGTAAGATTATTGTTTTTATTTTTACATGAATTTAAATTTTTGTCAAAAAGCTTCTTCTTTTACAATATATATATATACATACATATATATATATATATATATATATATATATATATATATATAATATATATATATATATATATATATATATATATATATATATTTAAACAATTTTAAAAAAATGTATTCTACAAAATAGAGTGCTCAATGTTCTTAAAAGAACAGAGCAATTATAAATTAGTAGAAAATCACTTAACAACATTTTTTTTCATTTTACACTATGTTTCATCAACAAAGACTCATCAGAAATTTCTGATGAGTCATTGTTGATGAAACACAGTGTAAAATTAAAAATATTTTTGTTAAGTGATTTTCTACTAATTTGATAAGCATTTGCTCACTTTTTCTGCTTACCTTAGGCTATACCGTTTTTTTCGAAAAAGAAGAAGAAAAAACGAAGAATGATGAATAAAACAATTGCTTCCCCATCCCAAACCCTCAGTCGATGTAGCAGCACTCCACTGCGAGTCAGGCTATTTGTCAGTCAATGTATGTACTGAAGCCCCCAGCAGCAGGCTATTTCAGTATGATGTCAGAATGCTTACCATAGTATGCAATACTATATATATATATATATATATATATATATATATATATATATATATATATATATATATATATATATATATATATATATATATATATATATATATATATATATAAATTAGTAGAAAATCACTTAACAAAAATATTTTTCATTTTACACTGTGTTTCATCAACAAAGACTCATCAGAAATTTCTGATGAGTCTTTGTTGATGAAACACAGTGTAAAATGAAAAAAAATGTTGTTAAGTGATTTTCTACTAATTTATAATTGCTCTGTTTTTAAAGAGCATTGAGCACTCTATTTTGTAGAATACATTTTTTTTTAATTGTTTAAATATATATATATATATATATATATATATATATATATATATATATATATATATATATATATATACATATATATATATATATATATATATATATATATACATATATTTATATATATATAATATATATATATATATACATATATATATATATATATATATATATATATATATATATATATATATATATATATATATATTTTAGATTTAATAACAGTTAATAAAAATTTATAACAGGACACTAACTTGGCAAACAAGGTTAGCAGTTGTAGTCTTCCCAACACCTGGAGGTCCAGATAATAAAGCAGCTTTAAAGATGGAACCATCCTCTTTTCCAGAATAAAAATCTATAATAAAAAATATAAAAACGCAATAGAAAAATAAGAAAAAAATAAAATGGTTTAAAAAAATATATATGATTTTAAGAAAAAAATATAATAATAAAATGATCTAATAAATGATCTAATAAAATTAAAAATTAAATAAATAAATGATATAAAAAAAAAGTAAAAAAAAGAATTAAAAAAAAAAAAAAGTAACATAAGTGATCTAATAATGCAATTAGTATTTAACTAAATATCTGAATGAAACATTTATTTAAATGACTTTTTTATTAAGGTTTGTAACTTTACTATTTTGCATTTGCTAATAGTTAGTTAGCTTATAATGCTTCTTCTTTATAAAATACTTTTGAATATTTGTTTTTCTCAGAAAGTTTGTTTAGGTTTATTATTCTAAAAGTTTGTTTACATTTGCAATGAAAGGTTTTTAATAAAAAAACATCTTAAGAAATTGCATATAATCTTTAAAAAAAATAAATTAAAATATGTAATAAAAAATTAAAAAGAAAAAAATTAAACTTAGATAATTAAAAAACACATAAAACAAGAATTTTAATATATTTTAAACATTTTTAAAAATATATTTTAAAGATAATATTATCCCAAGGCTCAGAGGACCTATATAGTGGAAAACCTTTATTTTTTTTATATAAAGAAAGCCTTTTTATATATTTGAAAATACATATACTATATTTACTATACATTTTTTTATATTTGTTTTAATATATAATGTAAATCAATCTTTAAAACCATTTTTAACAATTTTTCGGACATCAAAAATTCTATTGAATAATTTACTTTAAATTTTTAGTAATTTTTTTTTTTTTTAATTTTACATTGAAAAAATATTTATATTTTTTTTCATTATCAAGTTTTACTAATGTAAACACCTTTTTTTTTTATTAAGTTTTTTTTAACTTGATCCAACTTAATCCAAAATCAACATTTTATAAACAAGCATAAGTATTTGTTAAAATAAACAAAAATTATCATTAATATAAATAATTAATAGTAATTTAAATCATTTAGTGTAATAATGTACTTTTCTTTTTTTCACCAGATGAATTGTTTTCATTCCATTTGAGCAACCATTTATAGAGTTTGTTGGCATTGCTTTTGTCACCTTGTTGACCAACAATATTCCGCATGGTTGCAGGTTTATATTTGTCAACCCAGAGTAAAGAAGAAGTTTTACCTTGCCATAAAATGTAAAAAGTTAAAATTAAATTAAATAGTTTTGAATAAATGATAATATTATTTAATACTTATGCATTTTTATTTTATATTTAAAAAAAATTGAAAGCAAAAACAAAGAATACCATTGGTGCAATCTTGAGAGTTATAAAGAGGGGATTGTGTTTGAGGGGTGTTTGAAATAGCTGGACTAATTTGCGATAGATTAGGCTTGTCTTTAGGTGATTGAACATTTTGAACCATAGAAGTTGAATTAGAAGTTAAAACATCAAGTTTGCCAGTTTCCAAAACTCCTTTCTTTTTTAATGTAGGACTATTTACATCTAAAATAGGTGTTCTTTTCGAACTATCAGAAAATGATTTCTCTCTTGATTTAAGATTCTCATTATGGTCATTATTGTTTAGTTCGTTAGGCTTTTTTGAATGAGAACAAATTAGGTCTATAAAACCATCCTCATCAATCTGTTTGGTTTTATGCTTGAGAGCCTTAAAATTAAAATTTGGTAAAAGATTTAGTAAGTTTGAGATCAAATGATAATAAATGACAAAATAATAAACCACATAATTGAGACTGATGTTTAAAAACTGCTAAAAATATATTCAAAATTTTTATAGAAAAGTCTATTATAACTGATATCATGACTGATGATATCATGACATCTTCAGATGATCATTAGATATTATGACAGCTTCAAATAATCATTTGACATCATAACATTTTCAGATGATCATTAAATATCATGATTAGACATCTTCAACTTAAAATGAAAAATAAAATCGCTAAACTCAAAGTATTTCCTCAAATTCTAACAGCAAAAGATAAATATATTAAATAAGTCAAAAGATAAATGTGAGGAATAAATGAGAGGAAACCTTATATATGAATATACGATTTATCAGTGGTGTACCCTCATGGTCGTCCGATGGCATAGGACGATTCATTTTCTCCAAGAGCAACTGAAATTAAAAAAATAAAGTCTGTCAGTAGCCCAGCAGGACGACCAGACAGTTTGTTACTTAACAAGTAACAAACTGTCTGGTGTGAGTGTGTTTATCAATAAAACTATATTTTAATTGAAGTAAAAAGCATCTAGAATTTTAGAGTGGATATTCAGATAATATTAAAAACATATTAAGGAACTTAAACAACTTTATAAAAACATACTGTATAAAAATTTTAGCATTATGAAAAACATTACTAATGGTCTGTAAAAATGCGCATTAATTTTAAAGATAACTAATAAAAACTTTTTATTGGTTTATTTTAAAAATAGCGCACGTTTTTACGGACTATTAGTAATGCTTTTCATTATACCAAACTTTTTATAAAGTATGTTTTTATAAAGTTGTTTAAGTATTTGTAAAAGTTCCTAAAGTTTTTAATAATATTTGAATATCCACTTTATATTTTCTAGATGCTTATCTACTTTTATTAAAGTTTGGAATTACTAATGTTGTTTAAACAAAGAATAAACTTTATAAGTTATAAGTGCTTTATAAAAGTAATAACACTATTATAGTTTTATTACTTTTATAATGTAGTTAGTGACTAAAAAGTTGTTACTTTTGCCGTCGTAAGTTTTTTGTTTTGTGTTTTATAGCTTTTTCCCTAACAAAATTATAATAATATGCTCCTCAAAAACAAAATACACGGTTTTGCATAAATTAAAATAAGTTTTACCATAGTAAAAATACAAAAAAAACTTTTACACCGGACTACTGATTATCATAGCGGACAACTCAAATCAGAAATTTTTCAGTCGACTGGAAAAAAACCGGAGGGTACACCACTGTCTATGTCTTAAGATGCAGCATCCACTAAAAAATGTTCTTAAATATAAAATAATAAAAGAAAAAAAAAAAAAAAAAAAGAAAAAACATTAAAAAAAAACTTGCCCCTTATAAACAAACACTGAAAATTACTTCATTCAGTGGAATTTATAAATTATTCTGAAAATTTAAAACTATTCAGTTTAACAACTATCTTTAAAAAATAAATAAAAACTAAAATATAAATAAAAACTAGCGCTTTAAAAAAAATGATAAAAAAAAATATTTAAAAAATGTATAATACAAAGTAACAATTTATAAAAAATTATAATTTTAACCTAATAAATACTTTGTATTAATTTATATAAGCTGAATATATTTATGTTGCACACAAATTATTGATTAGTCAATAAGTAAAAAAAAATATATTGAAAGAAAGAATAACCTTCTCAATTTTAGTTTCCCCAGGATCTCTGCCAACAATAATATAACTAGTTTTTCCACTAACACTCGTAGTAACTTTTCCACCATAACGCTTTATTGAATCTGCAATCTCATCTCGATCAAATGCTTCAAGAACACCAGTAATTACAAAGGATAATCCTGCTAAGCAGTTATCGCTTCCCTAATATTATACAAGAGATTATTGTTATAAAATGAAAACACTGGAAATCTTAAGTACAGATTTAGACGTGAATGTTAATTCTTGTCAGTTAATTTTTGGGTAAATATTTTGTTAGATGTACAATATAACATTTATTTCAATTATTTTTATTATATTTATCTAAATTAATTTCAATCTGGAAAAACCAAACCATGTCATTATTTATCATGCCATTTAGAGTTTCTTATGTATTTGAACAATCTGCAAATTATTATTATTTAGAACAAAAAAACAGAGATTTGCATTATTTTAGGCAACTAAATTATAAATTTTTTCTTCCTCAAAAACTATTAATTTAATTGCCAAAACATTTTATTTTAATTGCCTATGCAAGCAATGTAACTAATACACCCTACTTTTTATGCTAAACTCTATTGTAGTATATCATTCTGTGCAAAATAACATTCTCTACTTTTGTGTTTGTAAATGAAAAACAAAAAATAAATGCTATTTTATTCTGTTATTTACAAACAACAAGTTAATTTTTATATTATTTACTCATAGGTATTGTATGATTGCAATACAACCCCCCTGACATTATTTCTGCACAAACATGCATTTGAATGCTCGAGTGAATGTATATAATAGCAGCGGTACTAAACTTAAGAACAGTTTATACATAAAAAATAATATAATATACAAAACTTAAATTATATAGATTATGTACTTAATTATAATATTTGATATTTTTACTTAAGTTAAATATTATATGCATAACAATATTATTCTCTTCCAAATACCAAAACAACAATTTTCTAAAATAAACATTTTTTAGTACTTCCTAAGTATTATCAAAACTAATAAAAAAAATTTTCATTAGGATTTTGTTGCTTTATATGCATATGTGATTAGTAAATAATGTAATTTCATTTGTGTTTATTTTTTATTTAATTTTTTTTCTCAATTTAATTTATTTACATATAACCAATAAAAGTCAAGAACCAAAAAAAAAAAAGTTAAACGAGTTGCTAGTGAAGTAAAAAAGTTAAACGAGTTTGCTAGTGAATGTACCCTATGCAGGTTTTTCATAAAATCCAAAGTTTCAAGCAAATCTAGTCTGATTAACCACATGAGAACCATCTACAATATAATAATCAAAAACATGAAAGTAGATAAAACACCTGTTGCAGAAGTTTCGAAAAAAAAAAGAAAGAAGATAACTTTGGCTAAATTGTTAGCAAAATGTATTTCCGAGGATAGTATGGCTGTAAGACTAATTATAAAATTCGATGTAATACATCAGCGCTCGAAATAATGGCCAATCAATGATCAGCTAATTTTAGGAAAATTTGAAAAAATTTAAGGAAATTAACCTGTTTTTGTGAATAAATTGCATTTGATTGGCAAGCTTTGAAAAACTATTTTGAGCACTGATACATGAGTTTAGGCCTTGTTATTAGATTTTATTGCATAACCAAATGCTTAACACTAAAAAATGTATTTTTAACACAGCTTTTAAACTTACATCGTTAAAAATTTAACTGTGGACTTCCCAAAGGTTCTGTTCTCTCAGCTCTATTATTCATTATATGCGTTTACAACATTCTCAATATAATAACTTCAAATGCAGCACTTTTTGCCAACAATACAAAAATATTTTACTACATAATATGCATTCACTCAATGTACTTCAAAATGATATTAATATTTTGATTGACTGGGCTAAATGGGAGATGAAATTTAATATTGAAAAATGTTCAGTTTTACACCTATGCTACAAAAACATCATGTCTATACTATGTACAATTGATTGAAAAAAACAATGATTAATATCAAATCCTCTAACTCAGAAACTGACCTCGGAATACTGATAATAACTTATTATTCTCCAAACATACCTCCATACTCCAAACATATCTCCATACTTTAAACATACCTCCATACTCCAAACAAGTTAATAAAGCATTGTGAGTAATATTTTTCATTAAAAAAAATTTTTTAAAGAATATTTTCAGCACTAATTTAACCATATTTAGAATATTATGGATCTGTATATAACCCTCATCTACTTAAAGACAAACAAGGTGAAAATGTACAAGGTGAAAAAGTACAAACAAGGTGAAAATGTACTCAGAAGAGCTTATAAATTAGTTCATGGATTACATATCACCAAGGACTATTAAAAATTAACATGATAACCATGAGATACAGACTAATCCGATTTAAGTCTATAAAAACATCTGCTATAACTGTCAAACAAACTGTCAAATAACTTTCCAAAAACAATTAACTATTACAAGAGGACATTCATTCAAATATTATTTCTGTTTGGCTTCTAGTCAAAACTTTTTTATATTACTAGCAGTCAATAAAGGGAACTTCCTCCCAGATGATGTCATAAATGCATCATCCTTGGGTAATTTTAAAAAACAAACTAGACAAAAAACATAAAAGAATAAATAATCATTTAAGATTAAAGATTAGAAATATCACATACATAATATATTTGTATGACAGGTTGGCAGGCCTTCATGACTATACAAATCAATTTTGTAAACCTTACAAATAATAATAATTTATTTCTTAAAATAATCTTATACTTATTATTTATTTTATTTTTTAGGTGTTTAATAAAACATTTTTAATAAAAATTATAAACAATTTATGGATAGAATTTATCAGTTGCTATATAAGATATTTGTAAGCATAATTTATAGTCGTAAACAAATTACGTCAAAAGTACTTTACACAATATTAAATTAGTAAGAAACAAAAAATATTGTAAAAAATACATTTGTGAAAAGAATTCTCTTAAAAAAAAAAACACTTCTCCCTTTTATTATTTGCTTTAACATATTTTAATCTATGATGGAGAAATTTTATGTTTTTTACACATTTTATGATGGAGAAATTTTATGTTTTACATACAAAATCAGCTAGCAGATTATTAGAAAAAAATTTCTTATTTAATAAATATTGTAAAACTATTTTACATTCTTTTGAAACTAAATTTTACATTTTTATGTTTTACTATTTTACATTTCTTCAAAACTAAATTTAAATTTTTAATTTTTAAAATCATATTTCATTTAAAGTTTTTTAATAAAAAAAAAAAATTATGCAAAATAATAAGTATTTTTAACAAAAAAAAAAGTTGTGGTTAAATGCTTTCTTTTTATGACTTAAAATTTTCTGAACAAATGTCACAAACAAAATTTTGCTTAACCTAACACTGTTAAATGCGTACAGAAATTGCTATTTCCTATGTAAAATGCCCAACAGTTGATGAATAGATTAATATCACCATTAAAAGGTTTATAAATGTAACTCTTCACAATAAAATAGCTAAATTGGGTCTTAATAAAATTGATGGTTGCTGAGATGCTTTTACAACTGAAGAGTTAGATCTAATGTACATAATTGCATTATTTTATAATGGAGCTAAATTAATGCAAAATTATGGACAATTAATTCTTGTAAAGAGTCAACTTAGCCACAATCACAATATTTATTTCATAACCAATGTTATGAAATTGCCTATCACAGGTAAAAAAAAATTACATAGCTGTAAACATGTTTGAGTAAAAAATCAAATGAAGATTTTTAAAAAAAGCGATGTAGAAAATGAAGATGCTGATGAAAGCAATTAATCAAATGAAAAAGTTGCTGATGAAAGCGATGAATCAAATAAAGAAGATGCTGATAAAATTGATGAACCAAATGAAGAAAATGCTGATGAAAGAAATGAACCAAATAAAGATGCTGATGAAAGCGAAAAATCAAATAAAGATGCTGATGAAAGCAATAAACCAATTAAAGATACTGGTGAAAGTGATGAATTAAAAGAAGATGCTGATGAAAGTGATGAACCAAATGAAGAAGATGCAGATGAAAGCAAAGAATCAAATGAAGAAGATGCTGATAAAAGCAATGAATCAAATAAAGAAATTGCTGATGAAAGTAATGAAGCAAACAAATTAAATAAAGTTAATAATTCAGAATAAGGTTGTTACTACAGTGATGATAGGTATTGAATTGTGCAGCAACATTTTTAATGATAGAAAAAGCTGCTCATGGAAGCAATAAACAAAGCATTTAGAGGTAACAATCTGTATTGAATAATTCATTTAAACATTGAATTTTTTAACCTATCAACTGTTCATAATTATTGCAATATATTGCAAAAGCATGTTTCCAAAAAAAAAAAAAAATTTATGCTAAAACCGGACATTAACACTTAGTGAAACTTGTTAGTTCTTATAATTGAAAGGTTGGTAAAATTGAAACCATGCAATTAAATAGTGATTTCGGACATTAGTTTTATAGGTAAATTTTAAAACCTATTGAATTGATCATTAAAGATCTTAGTAATGATTTTAAACAATTTTAACCAGTGATTGTGTTCACATGTTTTTGTTCAAAAAGTCTTTATGAGCAAATGTCTAATTTAACTGTAGTTTGCAGTCAAAAAACAATATAATGAGCAATGTAATAAAGATTCAGTGTTGCTAATGAGATATATACAAACTCAAATATGATACAAAACAATGATGGTTTCAAATTTTTATCAAGTCAGCAACGATTCAATATGTAAAAAATATAATCAAAAAAAAAATTATCAAAAACTTGGATAGTGCTGATGTCAAATCACCAAATGAAGAAGTTGCTAAAGAAGCCAATAATAACCTGAAGATATTTTTACAACAATCTCTAACAAAGAAAATAGGTTGGTATTATCTTGGTTTGGTATTATCCAAACCAAGATTAGTAATTATGATTTTCAGAGAGTAGTTTAAGAAAGTAGAGTTGGAACATTGTATTAAAATAAGATTGTTATTGTTCTCAAATTAAGTCAGCCCATGCCAAAATCCAGGGAAAGAACAGATCAATAAATATCATTTTTTTTAATAATATTCATGAGTAAAATGTCAAGAAGATTTTATGTGTCTTGTGCTTTAAACCATTGATATGTAACCTTTGAAACTCTTGAAGCTAAATGGATGGCAATTGAGCATTATATTTTATATACAATATACACACACAGAAAGTGTTGATACACTACTTTTTAATGTGTAATATTTTTTTTAGGAAACAATAACCCAATAAAATTATGAAATCTAGTCTGCATTTTTATGTTTATTTAAACTAGGGGCATAATTTAACAATTTAAATAAGAAAAAACTAGTAAGGATACCATAAAAGAGATGGAGAGTGATGAGAAAAATTAATGAAGCAATTAAGTACTTTCAATTTTTTAATACAAACTTTAAGTCCACATAGACTAAAGAATTTATAACTCTTTTTGATTGATAGATTTTTATTATCTTTTCTGTAAAGACTGCATCTGCAATCTGATTAAACATTAAGCAATTTTTAACTCGTATAATCTTGTCAAAAGATCATACTTTCTTGGGTAAATGGGCTGTCTTATCGAAAAACAAATGGCAAGTCATTGCAAAAAATGAAATTGAGCAATTAAAAAATCAGCAGACATCTGAATATTTCTAAATTCTGTGTTCATACAACAATAAAAAATCACTTATTAACTGGCAGTGCCAATGATAAACGTTAGTCACCCAATAACAACACATACAAAGTTATATTCAAAAATGCAGTGACATATGAAGATGCATATCAGGTTCAGGCATTGGTTTTCAAAATATCTACTGAGGAAGATTGAACCAGTATGGGTATTGTGACATTTTGGAAAATGTGCATATCCTGGTCATACCGACCTCAATGGTTGATCAAAACTGGTTATTTTTACAAGACAATGCTCAGCGTAAATCCCAAAGAAATATAGTATATAATTATCCATTATTTTGTTGTAGACAATACTTTTATTACATTATTTTTTAAATACATTATTTTGTTGTAAGCAACTCATACCTTGGTGAATACTATCACCTGACTTAAACCTGATCAAAAAATAATGGGGCTGAATAAACTATCAAATGCCTAAAAAACAAGTAACAAATACTGAAATGTTCAAAAAAGAACTTTAGTTTTAAACGGTAATCAAGATAATTAAAAACTTTATTGAGTCAATGCTAAAATAATTACAAGCACATGTCAAAAATAATGCAGGTCATATTCCATATTAATACATTTTTATTTAAAAAATGATCTAAATGTTTCAATTTATTGCATCTTCTCCATTAATTTTTTGGCTATTTAATATATATATATATATATATATATATATATATATATATATATATATATATATATATATATATATATATATATATATATATATATATATATATATATATATATATATATATATATATATATATATATATATGATATATATATATATATATATATATATATATATATATATATATATATATATATATATATATATATATATAATATTTAATATATTTAATATTTATATAATATATTTATTATTTCATTTTGACATTTTTATTTTTTTTTTAAATTTGAGATTTTATCTTAATAATCAGCTAGGAAAAATAAAATAAAAAAAATGGAGCATGCATCTCATTTTCTCTTTGTGCCAGTCTAAAACTCAAAAAAAAGAAACACGTGCGATTAAAATTTCTCTATAACGTTTAAATAAAACTTTCACATATTATTATGACACCCATCTTAAATCACTGCAATATTTACCTAATATTATTAAGACACCTACCTTACATCACTGTGAATCCACCTAATATTGTTTCAATTATCTTATAGCAATTTGATGCCAAACCAATACAATAACTTACTTATCATTAAAATAATAATTCTGTTTAACTTAAAATACAAAGAGACTAAAATGACAAAAAAATTATGCAAAAACACATTAGTAATATCACATTAATTTTCAAAAATTTCAAGACCTTAGGCAGTTCTTTGGAGCCAAGAGCTGAAGGACCATCTCTATGTTTGTATGCCCAGTAACTTTTTTTCTTTTCAACTGGTGTATTGGTTTCTATAGGTTTAGTTTCTGTTTTTTCTGCTTTTACTTTTTTATTTGGAGGAGATGTAACATCAGAATCAATCTTTTGCTTAACAGTTTTGTTTGAGGGAGACGCAACATAAGGCTCTATTTTCTGTTCAACAATTTTATTTGGAGGAGATGTAACATCAGGCTCAATCTTTTGTTTAACAGTTTTTTTTGGAGAAGACATAACATATTGACTCTGAGATATAACATCAGGTTTTAATTTATGTTTATTTTTTTCTTTCAAAGATACATCAAGATTTAGTTTTTGTTTATTATTTGACGCATCTAAAAACAATATTTTAATAAATAAATAAAAATTTTTCAGATAAATTAAAGTATTAATTTTATAATATATAACAAATATAATATATAATAAATATATAAAGTATAAACATATAATAAATATATAAAAGATATGTAATATAATATATAAAATATATAAAAAATAAATATAATGTAAAATATATCTTATGTAAAGTTAAAATTATATATGTTAAATAATGTAAATAAAAAAAAAAATTATGAAATTTAAAGTTTGATGCCATTTTGGCAATCATTCAGCTATATTATTAAAAATAACGCAAAAAAAAATAAATTATAAAAATCAATTAACAAAATACAACTTTATGTTGTAACAAGAAAAAAAAAAATCAATCACTCTACAAGAATTAAAATATCAATCATTCTACAAGAATGATCTGACAAGATCATGATCAGTCTTAAGCTAACAAGAGCTTCAATTTGTCTAACAGAATACAACATAATTTAATCAATTTACTTGCTTCTTCTGTTTAGCACCTTTCTCAAGTTGTTTAATAATGAAGAAATTTAACTTGAACCATTCAACTAAAAACATACCTATACCATCTAACAAAGACAACAAATTGTGATTACTAAAAAAACTGAAGTATTTATTAAAAAAATGAGGTAGAAAGCTTTTTTTTTACATGAGCAACCAACCCAATAGTACAAATAAAATTAAAAACAAAGATAATATTAATGACAACCTTATAATTTATAGCATAAGCACACCACATTGCAGCAGAAGATACATGTTCATTTGAAAACAATTTGTATGAAGTAATTATAAACAATCAATTTAGAAGGGTCCAATGCAGCTTATAAACAAAGCAAGACTATAAACTGAAACACCATAAACCTAATTTTTTAAACAACACCACGGTTTATCTTATTATCAGTGCAAGAAAAGAATCAGCAAATAATGTAAACAAATTTTATCTGATATAAACACCTAAGAGATACTTTATGTATAAACCAGTGAAGAAATACAGAGAACACAGAAGGCAGTAAATTGGTTCAGAAATATCAAAAACAAAAAATTTTATGAATTCCTTATTTTTCTAACCTACTATAAATAAAAATCACTTAGTTGAACAGTATGTTGCTATCATACTTTGAGAACAACTATTGATTACACACACTAATCTCTATTATTTAGCTGAGACAAAGTTAATAATCTCTATTATTTAGCTAAGAAAGTTTGTATAAAAAAACCAAACAGTTTATTTGATGTTAAAATAGGAGCATTTGATGGTGCGGAGCTATGTGTACTGATTAGAATTTTCCTTTTTTCAATTTCCCAGTTTTATAACATTATCATTTTACCACAATCCTAAAAGTATGCTAATTTATATTCATGCTAATTCAAATCACACTGTAAAAAATATAACCCTAATATATCAGTTACATAACAGTAAATAAAAAAATTAGCATTATGTTTACCGTTATGTCAGTAAAAATATGCCTTAAGCATTATGTTTATATTAATATGTCTATTACATATTAATATTTATATTAATATGTATATTATATATGAATATTTATATTAATATGTCTTAAGCGTTAAGTTTATTCAATTGTATTATTCAAAAAAAATTATTTTTTTTTGCAACTCTGTTTTTTGATGAAAAGATGATTATGTGAGTTAACAATTGATGTGATGTTCGATATACAAATGTGACTCACCTTCAGAGTATTTCTATTAAAAAATTTTGTGGTATTCATAGCCAACCGATAAATGCATTTCTATTGAATCCAAAAAGAGTTGACAAAATTTTAGTAGTACCATTTTTACTATATGGGGGGTTAAACCAGATTATATGATAGAGGAAAAGTTTAAGAAAGTAATTTAGTTCAAATTTGTAACCAGACTTTTTAATGCATACAAATGAGTTTTTTTCAGATATATTAATTTATTTATTTTCATATTTTTCTTATCTATTTTGTTTTTTGTTTTGTTTTGACAAGGAAGCACACTCATTTACAACTTTTTATTTTTGTTTCTTATTTTGCATAACATGGTTAATTGTTTTTAGGCATGAAACAATATATAATAAAAAAAACAATATAAATATGTTGAAAATTGCACTGAAGTTTGCTTGTATTTTTTTTTTTATTCTGATTCACTCCAAACAAGGCAACCACTAAATTGGGTGTTACTAGAAAAAAAGAATAGAGTTGTAGAGCAAGGAAACAGTTGACAGAAGACTTAAAAAGTTGAAGGTTATATGAATTAGGAAAACATGAAGAAGGTAGAGAGTTTTAAAGCATTAAAGTATGGGAAAAAAACTAGACAAATATTAGTTTTTAGAGCATGCAGAGACATATACAGCAAAAGAATCTGATTTTGCTGAATGATGCTGAATTTGCTGAATCAGACTTTGCTGAAAAAAAAGAGATAATAGCTCCTTTGAGCAGCGACCATGATAGTGTTTGTAGAAAAGAGAAGGAGCAACTTTATTACAATGGGAAGACAAATAAGGCTCAAGCTTAGCAGATAAAGTGGATCTAACAACATTTACAATGCGTTTTTGGACCTTGTCTAGAAGAGAAAGAGCACCATTAGAATAACCAGCTCAAATATTCCACACAGGGACGAATAATAGAATTGTAGAGGTAGAAAATGGAATCAGGAGTAAGAAAATGGCAAGCACAATAGAGAGGCAAACCTTAGCGGATGCTAAGGTTGAAATCGATTGTATATATGGTTTCCATAAAAGGTCAGTAGTAAATGATAATTCAAGAAGAAAAGAAGATTCAAGATTGGCTGCTTGTTCTAAGCAATCGAAAAGAAAAGACTTTTTGTCAACATATGAGCATCATCAGTCATCATCAAAAAGAAATATTTTAGATGTAAGATTGTCGGGAAGATCATTAATGTAAGAATATAATGAAAAACAAAACAGGACCAAGGATAGAACCTTGAGGTACCTGAAAATTTACTGGAAATAAAGAAGATTGTTGGCCTTCGAGGATGACTTTAATAAAGCGGTTAAAAATAAATAATTTTATAATCTCAAAAACTTTCCCAGATATACTATATAAAACAAGCTTATGGAAAAAAACCAACATACCAATCTTTGTCAAAAGCCTTAGATATTGCCAATAGCAATAGCCCTAACCTCTCTGCTTCCATCTAATGCACAATAAAATCTTTTAGTCACAAAAGCTAGCAAGTCAGCCTTAGAGCGAGAGCATTGAAAAGCGTATCGTCTGACAGTAAGTTATTTGACTCAAGATGGGATGTGTGAAATTTGTTTATCAATGACTCAAAGACCTTGCTAATAACAGAAAGAAGACTATTTGGATGATAACTGGAGGGGTCTAAATGTTTACCAAAATTTTTGAAAATTGGAACAACAGATGCGATTTTCCAGCAGGCAGGAAAACAAGATTTAGTCAATCATTTATTAAATAATTTAGAAAAAAAGAGAGTTCCAGATAACAATTTTGTTATAAATCAAATATATCAAACGATACTATTCAATAGTAGACTTATATTATGGTAACAATTAAGTGATAGCTTATAGAATTAGGTAACAATTACATTGGTAATTATTTTTTATTTTAGAAATAAAATATTTTCAATCAATTTTCAAGTATGCTAACTCATTACCAAAAAAGAGCAAAAACTATGTCACCTGACTTAATGGCTTCAGTAAAGTATTTACTGACAGCTTCTTTCATTTTAATCTCAGGAACATCTTGCTTGGTGTCTTCTCTTTCATTTGTATCCAAATCTTTTTCTTTTATATTAGTCAAAAGCTTGTTTTTTTTGTTTTGAGATTTGATTGGCTAAAAATATGTTTACAACAATAAGATTACAAAAATAGATTTATAACAATATATTTACAGCAATAGATTTACAATGATAGTATTTCAACGATAGGATTCCAATATGTTATAATAGCCATCATATTGTATATCATTTTTATTTTTATTACTTTAAAGAGGTTTTGTTCGACTAAAAATTACTAAAACAGAATCCCATTTATTCCGATTCTAAAAGAGTAAATATATATTGTCCGACTTAGCGAATGTCTGAATTATTTCTTTTAATATTCTTTTGTGCTAAAGAAAAAAATATTCAATAGTTAAAGTATAGACAATTATCATTAGTGGCATTAATGGTTATGCTCTCACTAAAACCTTTATTACTAAATTTATTCACTAAAACTTTATTTTTATGATCTCACTAAAAACTTTATTACTAAATTTATTCACTAAAACCTTTATTTTTATGATCTCACAGATCTTCAATAAAATGTTTTAAAATTACAACCTTAAAATTAATTTAATTAAAAAATTTCATGCTAAAATCATAACATTTTCTCCAGCTATCTTTGTTGCTGACTCAACTGAAACTGAAATAAATATCAAAAATTACGACCACTCAAACTTATTTTATATATATATATATATAATATATATATATATATATATATATATATATATATATATATATATATATATATATATATATATATATATATTTATAAAAATGTTGTAAAATTGAGTTAATTTCATAAGCTGTTCAACAAGAACACAAAAAAGGTTATTTCAATGAACCCAACAATGGTTTTAACTAGTAATTACAAATTAAATAAAACCTACCATATGAATGGAAAAAGTAGAAGAACATTTACTACTCCATTGCATCATATATTGGTTCAACAGGGCATGTGGTAAACTAGATAGGCAAACCACAAGTAGTTATTCAAAACAAACATCTAGCAAGCACAACTATGCTTTCAAAAAACAAGTTTACTCATATTTTATGAAAACTTTGTTGTACTTGAGTGTAATCAAATTTTCTGATATCAAAAAATTTAGCAAGCATAAACTTTTTGAAGTTTATGCTAGATTTTTTTAATAAAGGATTGTAAGCATATTTAAATTCACACTTAAAATAGATAAATTGTTCTTATGTATTTATGATATTTCATTAAAAATATATATATATACTATAGTACCACCATCAATAAATACTTGATTTTCACATTGCCTATAAAAACAACTCATGTGTTGCATACATGTTGTTTTTACATACCGCTTGCAACTATTTCATTGAATATTTTTCAACATCATTAAATATATTTTTGTTGTGTTAAGACTGAGTTTTTATTATGCATGCAAATTGATGCTGAGTGAGGTTTTGTCAAATTATGTCAGACAGTAGTGATATAATGATATTGAAAAAGAAAGTAAAGAAAGAAAAAGGTGTGACTACATTACAGCTTGCACAAAAAAAAAGACATTAGGTAAAGTGCTCCAGAATGATCTACTGGTTCTGACTTCAAGTGCAGTGAAAATAAAAAAAAAGATGTGTATTAAAATAAATTGTTATCTGCTAATCTCAAGAAGGTTAAATACCAAAAAAATTCTAAAGGATACCATAAGAAAAAAATCATTCAATTATAATAATAAACTGAAGGAGAAAAAATGACAATCATTTTTTCTCCTAACACCAACTTCAAAGATTGGTTGATTTGAAGGTTTGTTATAAAACACCTGTAGATGTAAATGAGGGAAAAAATAAAATTGTAATGCAATATCAGAGAAGTTTCTATAAAAATATTTGACTATAATACCTCATATGATGTGAAGACAAGTTATAGTTCTACAAAAATAATAAAGTATTCAAATGTAATGTTGAATATAAAGATATTGTACGGTATTTTTAGCAATAATCATCCAAAAATAAAAGTAGTTTAATTTAGGACAATTTTACTAATAGTTTATGAAAAATTGCTTTTTGCCGCAAAATAATTGTTTGCAGTAAATGCAAAGAATTTAGCTGCAAAATTAATTTACCTGTACTTAATAAAAATGCTTTAAAGACTGCTGTCACAGAATTAATGGTGCACAAGAAAAATAAAGAGAATAATCAATTGAACACTTCGAAAAATTGATTTTGTAATATATAAAAACCTTTATATATGATTTTTGCATATTAAATTTAATATTAATTATACTGTAAAATTCTACCTCTTTTACTGGTGTTGGAAGGATAACATCAGGTGTATTCTAAAAATAAATATAAAACATATATAAAAATGTTAGAAATCTTTATTAAATTATATACATTTTTAACCTCAGGTTTTTATATACATTTTTAACCTTAAATCTCAGATTTTGTATATTGTTTTTAATACTTGTTAAATTTTTTGGCTGTTATAGACTGGAATTCTACATAATTTCAGTATCAACTCTTATGAGTTACAGCGTCATTTCTATATATTTCTACATATATGTATGGAAAAAAATACACACTGAAACTTATTAGATCTAGTATAAAAAAAATCAAAACGCATACTGACTTGTACACAATTTGATTTACGAAGATTATGAAGTTTTGATAAAGAAGTGATGAAGTTTTGATAAAGAAATAATGAAGTTATTGAAGAAGTGATAAAGTTATTGAAGAAGTGATGAAGTTATTGAAGAAATAATGAAGTTATTGAAGAAGTGATGAAGTTATTGAAGAAGTGATGAAGTTTTGATAAAGTAGTGAAGTTATTGCTACTTGAATGGCTCTAGAACAATGTGTTCAACATAGAATGCCAAAGAGACAAAGGACTGATACTATTTAAAAAATCATAAAAATCATTGAAATGGTGCGTTTGGGCCCTACATAGTTAATAGCTGCCTGTATACTATGCCACTATTTTATCTTAATTATCGCAAGTTAATGCAAAAAAAAAAAAAAATTTAAGAATTACAAGACTTTAGATAGCCTGCATATAATGATCAGTGAAAAATCAGTGAGCCCCAACAGCTGACAAATGCTAACAGACTCATTATTGATATCTACTAATAATGTTGCAAATATTTGCCAGTATCACAAGTATAGGTAAAGAACCTCTTAATCATACAAAGCTTGTTGTTGGAAAATTGACTGGAACATATATTTTATTATAAAATAAAAGTGTAAACCACTTTGTGACTTTTTTGCCGAGAGTGTTACTACAGTCAAAGAGGTTCTTTAATTGTGGTTACAACCCTCTCTCAACTCTATAACTTCAAAACTCAAACTTAGACAAATAAGGCTGCTACGCGGAGAAACAAGTTGAGTCAATTGAGAAGCTACAGTAAAGGACATTAAAGCCCTTGTCACTGAAATAATTTCTGGATCTGTGGCTTAATAGTTAAAGACTCAATTTGGAGCTTAATTTTTTTTTAGTCTAGAACTCTGTGTTAATTCTTTTGTCTTTCAACTGTTAGTTTCAACTATTTATTCTGAAAACATTATGATATGCAGATTTTTCAAAAGTAAAAATAGAGAAAAAAATCTTTTAAACTGATGCAATTAAGCCTAAATATTGTAACCTAAAACTGTAAATCACTTAAGAATTCAGTCGGTGCTGTTAAAAACAAGTTACAAGAACATTGGCTTACGCCAGATGAATTCAACTTTTCATAACATACTGACTCAGATTTTGTATTACTTGGAACCTTAGCTGTAATGGTAAATGACTCGATTTTATGTGGTCAGCTATACAGTGGTACTACTGTTTGTAAACTGGCATATAAATTCAACTATGAATTTATATGCCAGTTTTTTTTTGGGAATTTTTTTTACAACATCTTCACTTCTAACAAGACTGCAAGAAACCACTATTAGATTTGGAAGTTACTGGAAGTGAAAAGAAGAAGTTTATAGAGCAAGATAACGATTGACGATTCTTAATCTTTATAAAATTTTTATTAAGTATCTTTAAATTAAACAATAGTTATAAAAAAATTAACGATAAAATTTAAATATGTTGCTTGAAAAACAATTTTTAATTTACCAATTATTTTTTAAAACATTTATAACTCTCAACATTATTATCTTGTGTTTGCTTTTTCATAATTTAGTTTTTTTTTTAGAAAAAATTAACTAAATTAAAAAAACAACTATAATTAATTTATTCTTAACAGTCAAAAAAATAGTAAAACTATCAACAATTATTTTTTTGAACATTTTACCTTTAACAAATTTTTCGCCTACTACTTGTTACTAGATAATAATTTCTAATCGACGTTCATTCTAAGATCTTTTTTTAAAAAGCAATTTTAAAACTAAAAATATCATCCTTTTATAAATTTGTTACATAAAGTTTGCTAAAAAGATTCTCTTTAATAATTTTGCCTACAGGCTTGATTATGGTTTATCAGCAATGCATTTATATACAGTTCAAGCTTTTCCAGGAAATGCGCACAGTCGTACTCATTGTTTGTCCACATTTAAAGTAAATTTCTTAGATAACTTGACCACAAAATAAAGCAAAGAAGGTGAATACTATACAAAATAGAAAATCTAAATAAACTAAAAAAAAAATTGAAAATTAGAAAAAATAAAAACTTTCTTCGAAAGTCAAAAAAATAAGATACCTAAACATTTTACTGTTTTTGTTTTCTTTTTTTTAGGGCATTTGTTATATTCCTCTACCAAAATTACTACAAGTTGAGGAAAAAAGCAGATAAGAATGTAACAAAAACAAAAAAAATTTTAGATATATAATTTATTTGTAATCTTTGTCAGTCAGAATAATAAGGAAATACTTTATTATTTGCGCTAGAAATATGGACAACTTTTAAATTTGTTTTATTAAATGTTTTTGCTAACCTTTTCTGTTTTAAACAATGCACAGGAAAGTGAGAAAACTAATTGCTTTTTATTAGTAAAAAAAAAATTTTTATAAGTTTTTCACAAAAAAAAAAGTAAAAAGTCTTTAATACTAATATTCAAATATAAAATACTTGTTGTTTTCACTATGCCCACTGAAACAGTCTGCACTTTCTTTGGATTCTCCAAATTATATATTTAAATCTATAATTTATTTACTGACGAACTTTTATTATTGACAATGCTCTGAAAGCTTGTGGGTTAGTGCATTGTTAATTTACTGAATTAGACAAACTGGCATAGTCAGTGTGCCTAAAAAAAAATACTTGGACGTGGACGAACAAGGTGAGCAACTGCATGTACTTCATGGGAAGGCTTGCAGTTATCAGTGCATAAAGAACTTTTTTTATTAGCACTTTTGTAATGGAATAAAAAAAAATTATTGAGTTGAAACTATAAATTAAAAATAATACAAATAAATTAATAAATAAAACAAATAAACTAATAAATAAAAAAATAAAACTATAAATAAGTAAAATAGTTGAATGTAAAACAAACATAAAAAAGTAACTAAAATTGAACCTGATAAAGAAGCATTTTTTTAAACATGTTTGAAAATTTTAAAAGAATTTTAAAATTGTAAAACAGAGCACAATTTAAATTTTTTGAAAAATTTAAATTAATAAAAAAAAATTTAAATTTATTAATATATTTAATAATAAACTTAATTTAAATATATTAAAATCAATTTAAATTAAAACAGAAAATAGAAAAAAATTTATTTAACTATCTGCAGCATATAACTATATTCTTTGTAGAAGTATTCCTTGCATGTTCTATTTGTCAGTCAAAGTAGCCACACTCCTTGCATGTTTTATCTGTCAGTCAATGTAGCAATATTTCACACACACACACACACACACACACACACACACACACACACACACACACACACACACACACACACACACATATATATATACATATACATATATATATATATATATATATATATATATATATATATATATATATATATATATATATATATATATATATATATATATATATATATATATATATATATATATGTATATATATATATATATATATATATATATATATATATATATATATATATATATATATATATATATATATATATATATATATATATATATATATATATATATATACATATATATATATACTGAAAGAATACTGAAAAAAATACTGAAAGCGAAATTACTACTAAGAAATTAAATTCTACCTTTTTTTCCTTTTTATCATCAAGGCTTTTATTACTTGTCACAGAAAGAGTTCCAGAAAAGAAATCTTCCGCAGTTATTGGACGCAACTCTTTCTTCTCAAGCAATTCTTGTATTTTAGGCTTCTTTGTATTAGAACTTTGAACATTTTCTTTTGGTGGAATTTGAACTGAAACTTCTTTAAGCTTAATTTCTTTATTTATTTGCGGTTTTTCTGACAAGTAAATTTAGAATTAAATTTTATTTTTTTACACATTAAATGCCTAAATTAAAATTATATTCTACTATTGTTATTATTATTTTAGTCCTAAATATCCAAAATAAATATACGTCACAAAAGTAATCTTTAATTTTTGGAACTATATTAACAATATTTTACTTTATCTTACTACTACATAAATTATATATGAGCTGTTAATTTTGATAGTGACATTTTTTTTTTAAACAGAGAATTTTAAAGGTTTGAGTTTTAACATGTTTGTTACACCAATAACTAGCAAAACTTCATTTCAAACATGTTTGTTACACAAATAACTAGCAAAACTTCATTCCAAACATGTTTGTTACACCAATAACTAGCAAAACTTCATTCCAAACATGTTTGTTACACCAATAACTAGCAAATCTTCATTCCAAACATGTTTGTTACACCAATAACTAGCAAATCTTCATTCCAAACATGTTTGTTACACCAATAACTAGCAAAACTTCATTCCAAACATGTTTGTTACACCAATAACTAGCAAAACTTCATTCTAAACATGTTTGTTACACCAATAACTAGCAAAACTTCATTCCAAACATGTTTGTTACACCAATAACTAGCAAAACTTCATTCCGAACATGTTTGTTAACCAATAACTAGCAAAACTTCATTCCAAAATTTCTCAATAATTTTTAACACAATTGTTTAAATTATTTAATAAGAAATACCATTACATTGTAATTATTGATTTTTTTGAAAAGGTGACTAATCACATTCAAAAAATATATATATAGAAAGAATCATTTGAAAGAAAAAATCAAACAAATTCATTTTTTTAACATTTGAAAGAAAAAGTGAAACATAAAGTATAATGGATGTTTTAAACCCCTCAAAAAAATCTCAGAACATTAACCATCATCAAGGAAATCTCCATCTCACTAAAATTTTATTTTCATTTCAACCATTTTCGCTTCCTTTTTACTCCAATTAAATAAATATACTTTTTTATGATTTTGTAATATCCTAGTAGTGCTATATATACTATAGTTTATAATAGTTTAGATAAAAAAATGACATACCTGGTGTATACTTTTTTGTGTCTGATTCTTTTAAAGATTTTCCTTTCCTATATTTAACAAAAATACTAAAAAGTTATTTATCAGTTAAAACAAAAATAAAAACTTTTACAGATATGATATAATAACAATGACAATAATATATAATATATAAATAAAATAGTAATATAATATATATATATACAATGACAACAATATATAAATAAAATAGTAATAGGGCAATTCCACGTCAGAAGATTAAAAACATGTTAAAGAAAAGTATTACTATATACGTTTCTCAAGATTATTTTTGTAAATATAAACATTGAAATTATGTTTTCTATGATTATTCTGAAAAAGTTTTTTGCAGCTCACTGATATTTCATTCATTAAAAATATAAAATAATAAAATTTAAATTTGTAAATATAGGCTAAATAGATTAGAAAAACACATCTAATTACAACATATTTTTATTTGTTTAAGTGTTTTAACTTGTACTGCAAGTCTTACTCTTCATTTTTTCTTCAACACAAGGTTGTAATCACTCTTATTTGTTGGTTTGTAGTTATTTTTTGTCTGAACAATTGTAATGTTAAAACTATATAAATTGTAATTAGCATTAATTTATTTATGATTATAACTTTAACTTATCATTCAATGTTTATGTTGTTAAATAACATGATTTTTAAATTTGTCAGAACGCAACAATTCTGTACGCAACATGAAGTTTCTCAACGCAACATGCAATGTTTGAAGGCTTTGTCTTAATGTATGAATGCAACATAAAATGTTTGAATGCAATATAAAATGTCGGAGCGTAACATAGTGAAGTATTTTTAACTTAGGACATACCTTAATTCCAACATCCAATACACTATTTCCATTACCCTATATAAACAAATATCTGTATTTTTTATGTTTTTATAGAAGTGGACAAAAGGATTAGTTTGTGAGTAGTTAATAATGATGAACCAAGTAATACACTTATAGAATAGAAGAAATGTCTCACTCTACTAATTCATAAATTTTATGAACATGACAATATTTCTGGTCAGACACCTGGCATTAAAGGTGTTATTATCAGTAAAGTCACTTGGGAGAAAAGACAAACTTGTCATTTGCTATTCATACTGAAGGAAGCATTTGGAATATTCAAAAATGACAATGCTGGTGTGTTTGTGAAATTTTTAAAATTTGCTTCCAGCAGACCATTTTATGTTAATTTAACATAAAATTTAACATTTTCTGGAGTTTTTCCAAAGAAAAATTCCAGAAAATATATGCGTGTGTGCGCATACATTTTCTATATATTATATAGAAAATGTATGTGCACACACGCATACATTTTTATTATATATATATATATATATATATATATATATATATATATATATATATATATATAGAGAGAGAGAGAGAGAGAGAGAGAGAGAGATTTTCATTAAATTTAATGAGCTGTTTTGATTTTTTATTTAACTTATGACTCTGTAAGAGAAAACTTTTAATTATTTTTGTTTTGTTCATCAGTTAAATTTAGCACTGAATAATTTATAGACGATCCCTAATCTAAAAGTTAAGTCAAAAAATAATGAAATATAATACTATTTTGATGGTTATCTAAATTCTGACATTGTCACACACTCGGTTTAGAATGTTTAACGGGTGTGGTAAAATATAACTGTAAAACTCTAAATTTGCTTACTATATCAATATTAAATAAATTTAACTTTTAATTATTTTTTTTAAATAACAAATAAAACAAAATGGCTTAGTTTGACTCATTATATTTTAAAGTGTGAGTTTTTAAGTTTTATTGTTTGGGAGCAAGTAAAAATAAAACCTAAACAAAACAAAATTTTTGAAAAAGAGATTTTTTTTCCCCTGACTTCTGGAAAAAAAAAAAAATCCCTGACTTTTCCCTGATTTCCCTGACTAGAAAAAAATTTCCTGATTTTCCCCTGATTTCCTGTTGGCTGGCCATCATGCCCCTTACTGTTTTAAAAAAAATTAAGGTCGCCGCGTGGCAAGTTCAAATCTTCAGCTAGCTTTTTTTTAAATTTCTGTTATTTAAAATGCAAAACAAAACAATGTTATAGTTCTATAGATTTTATATTTTATATATAAACATGTTGCATACTCATTTTTTTTGGCACGAACTCAATTTAGTAGTAAAAAAACTTGAAATGTAAAACTAAAATAACATAAGTATCTCAATCATGACACATACAAACAAATTTTTAATAAATTGATTTAAATTTTTTTCTTCTTAAATTTGTAATAGCGACTTTGCAAATTCAATAATCTTTGAATTCTAAAAAGTTAGTAACAAACAAAAAATATTATTCATTGCAAAAAAAAAAAACTCTAGTTTATTACTTTACTACAAATTTTGTTGTGACATTTAAAGAACATTTACTAATTACCAATTATTAAAAAACATATTATTGTACTTTCACTCGTCTTATGAAAAAAGTTTAACGAACATTATGTGCACATTTTTGCTGCAGCCTCCAAACAAATTTACACGGAATTCTATTTTTATTTTTAAAAAAATGAAAAAGAGAAAGAAAAACGAAAAAAAAAAATTTAAGAAAAAACAAAATTTATTAAATTTGCAAATACAGCTTATATCTAACATAACTGTTACTCAAACTTTTGTAACAAACTTTTTAACATAATTGTCCTTTGAACTTTTTTATAATGTTAGTTCCTTCTATTACAGCCTGATATAAGATATCTTACACTTATTTAAATATTAAAAAATAACAAAAAGTTACTGAACCAAAATGGCTAAAAACATAAATAAAATTGCTTAATGCGTACATAAAATTGCTTAATGGGTACATAAAATTGCTTAATGGGTACATAAAATTGCTTAATGGGTACATAAAAATGCTTAATACGTACATAAAATTGCTTAATGCGTACATAAAATTGCTTAATGTGTAGTATCTGCTCAAACATTGAGTCAATGAAGGTACTTCACAAAAGCTAAGAGTTAGATAAATAATTAGATATACTGTCCAAAAAGACAATACATCTCATTATTTAATTGATCATTAAACATTAAATATATTTAAGTTATTGTAGCTGCATTGAGATAACTTCAATATAAAGTTATTATTGGTATGTTGCTAATATATTTTAAAGCAGGAACCACCTGGCATTATAATTTCACAGATAATAACTACTAATTATAATAATGTAATGTTTTAAAAATAAATATTTAAAAAAAGATCCAGAAAAAACTTTTAATGCATTTTCATAAAATACCTGAACTTGGATGGTAATGGCTCTTCATCAGAATCTTATAAATAATAAAATAAACATAACAAAGTAACTTATTTTTTAAAATTACAAAATTTAAAAAATTATATTTTATTCTAATATGGCCAAACCGTATAATTACTAGATAGTTGAAACATACGCTTCAGGCTCTAACAGTAAATTTTCACCAAAAAAATTATCTTCAAATAACAATATTTGAATGTAAAAATAACCAACCTTGTTACTGGTCCACACAAAGAAATTTAACTAATCTAATAATTAAGAAAACATTGTAAAATCTATAATTTTATAAATACATTGCCTTTAAAGTCTGTTGACATTCACTTTGACTATTTTCAACTATTTTCATAGTTGACATTCACTTTGAAGGTTATTTATGTCAGCATTGTCACTTTGAAGGTTATTTATTGTCAGCATTGAGGAATGTTAACCTGGATTTAGGGGACTGTGAATGCATTTGTAAAATTATTTTTTCTTGTAATTATGCTGTTTGACCATAACATAAATGTCTCAAATTTATTACTTTATTAAATAAGATAAAAAGATAAAAATGAAAATAAAAAATGGAAGTATTAGAAAAAAGATTTTCATTGATATTGTCTTACCTGATTCTATTACCAAAACCTTTCTCTTTTTACCTAGCTTTTTCATACCATTGCTGTTAGGCTAAAATATGCAAAATGAACTTTTTTTAGTTTTCCTCAAATTCTTAATATATGTATTATGTATTGTTTTATTATACTATTTTTTTTTTTTTTTACTTTATTACATAATGTCAAATAAACAAGTGTTTACAAATAATTGTTTTAAAATAGAGATAAAAAGTGTTGTTGAGTAGTTATTATTATTTTATATTTTGAGATTCTTTTCACAACTTTTTAATTAAAAAAAATACATTTAAGAAAGTTAAAGTAAAGAGTTTTTAAAGAACTGTTAAAATCTTTCAAGTCAAATTAAAGTGGAGTATTTGGTTGCACTTGTTTGAAACCTACATATTGCTTTAAACAATTATCTTTTTATACATTATGCACACAGTTACAAAGTAAAAGTTAAAAATAAGTCTTCTGATTAAAAAATTATAACCACTTTTTCTTCCTTCGCTGTTGAATTGTTTTTTGAATCATTTGCCAAATCAATAACTGAACTGCTACTTGACTTTTTCTGTATTTTGTTTTTGTTCGATGAGAAGAATGATCGAATATCAGCCTAAAAATAGCATTATGATAATGAGTTTTATATAAAAAGAAGCATAGTTCAAAAATTTTTAGGTTAATATATTTTATCAATATTAGTAAATATTAACAAAACAGCATAATAAGGAAAAAGCATTTTCATTTCAATCTTAAGAAAAAAAATTATAACATTTTGTGTAGAAAAATACATTTACCATTTCATGCAAATAAATGCTATTAAAATCTTGTTTTTAAGATCTAGATAATACATTAAATATCAATATATTAAACATTATTATAGATAACATTGTATTAAATAACATATATATTAATTATCAAAATAGATTCAATATCTCTTTGTGGATTTGGGAAGGTTAAATAGACCCTGATCAGTTTCAAAGTGATATTCAATCATTCAAAAGTACTCATAAACTTTTTGAAACATTGCAGCTAACCTTATATATATACCATCAGATGGGATAACATGGCCACCGCAGGTATGGCTATGTAATATGACCAGTTTAAGCAAAGAAAGGTTACGCATGCAGTAACTACCTTTAACCTTAAACTAAAGCAAGGAGACAAGGCTATAAAGGCCATAGCTGCAGGTATTTCTGTTAAAAGAGCCTCTGAGACCTAAAAAGTTTCCAGATCAACTTTTAGAAATTATCTAAGATCAACTTTTAGAAATTATCTAAGTTAGACCATAGATATGCAGAAATCTGGTCAAACTGCTATTCCTGCAAATGAAGAGTTTTTCATTGCCTAAAATGTAATTATACCTGATGAATCAGATTTGTTTGGGATTAAAGTGTCTTAACTCAGGGATCTTTGAGTGTCTTAACTCAGCCTGAGTTAAGACACTTTATCAAAGGTATCCTTCACAAGCAAAGAGAATTTTCTAAGAGTTTCTGGTCTTTACCAACATGCGAGATTAAGCTTACAGATTCATGAAAAGCCACCACAACCTAATTACACAGAGAATTGGTCAAGAGAATTGTAAGTAACAGTGCAGTTGTAAGTGAAGAACAGCTTGTTGTTGTTTTTTTAATAATTTGCAGAGCTTGATCAAGGACATTCTACCTTCTAATGTAATGAACTATGATAAGACTTATCTCAGTGACAATCCAAGGTTCAGGCCCTGGGTTCAAAAAAACAATTTACAGAAAGCATTCCAATAGCATCATAAAGACTTTAATGCCTTTGCAATTTGTTAGGAACTTTGAACTATTTTGTATTTGTATTTTGAACTATATTTTAATAATCTAGTTTTACAATTTGAAAGATACTTCCTTTATTTTTATAAACATGTAATGCAATATTTTGTTGTTTTAATTAGATTTTAATGTTAAGTGGCGTAATACATCATTTTTGGATTTTTCAAAAATGAATTTCATTAATAAACTTTGATTTAAGTTTTAAAGCTACACTCCTGATTTTCAAATAAAATCTTGAATGATGAAATCCAAAAATTTATAGCTCTTTTTTTTCTTGCATTTTATTTCTAGTTTTGAGATTTGCAACTTCTTTCTATATATTTTATTATTAAGTCATACAAGTAAATTGATGGTCTGAAAGAACCATCAATATATTTCAATTGTTTAATTATTTACTGTTGACATTAAATTAAAAATAAAAAATCTTTCCAATTAAAAGTTACTGCAATTGATTAAACAAATTATTTATATATTAATCAAATTAAAAATATATATTTCATTGAATAAGACTCTTAATTAAAATAGTTCCAATAACATTTTACATTAATTTTTTTTTTTAGTATAACAAATATTTAAGATTACTTGATATGAAAACAAGAAAACAAAAATGTTAGAGAAAGATCAGCATGCAGGTAAAAAGTGCCCTTAAAAAGACAACAAATTTAAATTGGTTTTAATTATTTTGGGAAGTTTTTTTAAAAGTTTTTTTTTTTTATCATTTTGTTTAAATCTATATAACTTTTTCGTGACGGTTGAAAAATTTTTTTAATGTTTTATTTTTTTTAATGTTTTATTTTATTAATCAATAATTTGATTTTAATTTTTTTACCAATTTTTTGTTTTTAAAAAAAAAAAAAGACGTTGGAAGAAAGGTTCTATAATTGTATTATGTGCACATTGGCTATTATAAAATGGTTATCAAATCTATATGTTGATTGTCTAGTTCTACAACTAGAAATATGTCCATTTGTATGAAGTCCTAAATTATTAATTTTTCCGGTGTATGTAGTAGTCTTATCGCAGGATAAACATTTTATATAGTATATTACATTTTTACTATTGCAAGTTATATGACTCTTTATGTTCCATATGGAACCATTTGATGTTGAAAACAAAATATAATTGTGATTTTTTTTAATTTAAAATTTTTTGAATGCTTTATTTGTACTTGAAATTTAAAAGACAATCTTGCTTTTGTTGATATCTTCTTAACGATTAACTTAATTAGTGAGATATTTTGCATGGTATTATCTGCCTAATATAGATATCTTATTATAGAAAGAAATCTGCAACTATTTAATGATTTTTTAAAATAATAAGAAAAAATTATGACATTAAAATAATTTTGTAATAAGCATTTAGAACCACAATTTCGGAAGTTATTTTAATATTGTATTTTTTTTTCTTCCCTTTATATCTTAAAGTTTGTTTTGAAAGATAGCAGTACTTTTTATAACAGTTCAATTTCTTTTAACAGCTACTTCTTGTTTTGCAACTTCAAAAAAAGACTTGAAAATAAGTAAATTGCTGTTTTGTGTTTTTACTTTAATTGTACAGTAATTGTTATAATAGTTTAAAATGTTCGTTTTTATAGATAAAAATAAAAATGAAACCAAAATTTAGCTTAAGAGTAGCAACGAATGCAAAGTCTGTAATTAAAAAGCCAAGGAATAAATCTGAAGCAGCTGTAAAGCGATTTAACCAAGATGAAAGAAACAAACAGATAAACAAAGCTGTAGAGTGGTGCAAAATTTATGGAAAATAAGGATATTCTGCATTATCAACAGGTCAGTTTTCATTCATAAAAAACAAAATTGTGATTGATAAGCGATTAGATAACTTAGTTCTTACAGAAAATAAAAAAAAAAACATGTAATGATACTAATCACTGAAGAAAATACTATTGTTGAGTATTTGTGCTTTAAAAATCGAGCTTACCAAGGTATGAACAGAAAAAAATTAACAAATCCTATTATGGATGTGTTAAAAATTCGAGATCATGCCAACAAAAAGATGAAAGGAGAAAGAAAGTTTATTGCTTTGACTGCAAGTGGAAGGAAAGCTCTTTTGAAGAAAAGATGAACATTTTCTATTGTATTATTAATATAGAAATTGTAAGTTTCTGTGTCCATGTCAGTTTCAAACAAATTTACAGAAAAAAGAACATCAAAAATAATTACAGTGCTCTATTATATAAATCCTTTATATATATATATATATATATATATATATATATATATATATATATATATATATATATATATATATATATATATATATATATATATATATATATATATATATATATATATATATATATATATATATATATATATATATATATATATATATATATATATATATATATATATATATATATATATATATATATATATATATATATATATATATATATATATATGTATTGTACTTTTCAATATCTAAACCCAAAACAAAATTTGATCTTGAAAACTTTTATTTATTATCAGTGTAAATGCAATTCTTTAGTACAGCATTAAAAAGTAGGTTTTGTTATTATTATATTTATATTTCTAGCCTAAGTTGTTTTGGAGACGATGGGATGCCAATGTTTCTTTAAAAAGACAAGGGATCATCACTATGAATAGAGCAATGAATTCCTGATAAGGACCCTACTCATAGCTTCTTTCTAGACTTTGGTTTATGGATTTAAGTTAAATATTTATAGTTTTATATTAAATATTAGTGAATTTTAGTTTCAAATTTTTTTTAATATTATCTTCTGAGACAAAATTAGGAATTTTTTTGAATTTCTGCACTATAACTTAACTTTTTTCAAAAAGTTTATATTTTGGAATGTCTAAACTTTTTTTTTATTTTGGTTAACAATAGTTATCAGCAATATAGTTTTTTTGCCTTTTTAAGGGCATTGTCTTTTTTAAGGGCACTATACCTGTAATAGAATAACAATACCCACTTTTTAATAATTTATATTATAATCCATATAATATAAATTATTAAAAAGTATTAAAATTAATAAATTTATTAAAAAAATTTCCTTTATTGCAATTTTTTTTTTAAAAATATATATCATAAAAGAAATCAAAGTATCTATAATAGATTCCATTGATTTTATAAATGCAGAACTGTTACTTATAATCAACACTCATACAAAATTGACGTATTTTGAAAACATATAAAACAAATTAAATTTTATTAGTGTATAAAACAAATGAAAATTAAAATTAAGGCTTTAGTTTTTATTGCTGGTTGACATAAAATTTTAATTTTATATATTATACATTTTTTAAAGAGAAATTTATAGAAATATATATATATATATATATATATATATATATATATATATATATATATATATATATATATATATATATATATATATATATATATATATGCAAAAAATATATATATATATATAAACATGCTATAGTGTATATATATATATATATATATATATATATATATATATATATATATATATATATATATATATATATAATATATATGCAAAAAATATATATATATATATAAACATGCTATAGTGTATATATATATATATATATATATATATATATATATATATATATATATATATATATATATATATATATATATATATATATATATATATATATAAATATATATATATATAGTATACAGGGTGGCCAGCGACTTTGTACAATTAAATTCCCTGACTTTTCCTTGACTTTTTATATTTTTCCGACTTAATTATATTTTAAAGTAAGAGTTTTTAAGTTTTGTTATTTGGAAGTAAGTAAAAAAAACCTTTAAAAAAAATTAAATTTTGAAAAAGAGACTTTTTTCCCCGACTTATGGATAAAAAAATTAAAAATAATTGACTTTTCCCTGATTTTCCTGACTAGAAAAAAATTCCCTGACTTTTCCCTGATTTCCTGTTGGCTGGCCACCCTGTTATATTATATATATATATATATATATATATATATATATATATATATATATATATATATATATATATATATATATATATATATATATATATATATATATATATATATA